GATGTTTATGACCGGCATAAATAAAAGTGATCACGATAACACTCCTGGTAAATGCACGTTAGTCGAGGTGATTTCAGACCATTGATCAGTGTACATTGATGCCATGAAGACTATCTTCTGCCTGATGCAAACGACTGTACTGGTTTTATCGTCTTCAGGTCCTAAGGGTTAGTTATATTTGCACGTCAGGGATGAGTGGTTTGTTTTGACTTCGCCATTGAGTTAGCTCAGGCTCTCAATCATTAACACACATTTGCATCCTCGCACATCTCACATCACATGATTTTTGATTTCAGAGAATAAAACTATGTCTTTATCATATATTTGTCCATCCCACACTCGGATGCTCCTGGCCGTCGTAAAATCAAATAGGTTCAGGGGTGTTCTACTCGAAAGCTTTTTTCTTGTTCTGAAGACAGTTGCGATGAGACGGAGAATCGCCTTGGACATGCCCAAATCCTCCAACTCCTGAAGTTCTGTCTCAAGACGTACTTTGCGTACGGCTGAACAATTTACTAGCAGGTGAAGGGCACGCCAATGGGTTCGCTGATTTCGGGACTCTTAGCCGATGCGGTCCTACAACAGTTGGGGTCGCTGATGATCCAACACCACAGGCCGAAATTCTGGGTTTGGTATGTGGATGATAGCTTCGTCGTCATCAAACAGGATCAAGTGCTGGAATTCAAAGAACACCTCAACGCCGTCTTCCAGGGCATTCAATTTACCATGTAGGAAGAGGAAAGTAACCAGCTGGCCTTTCTTGGTGGCCTCGCCTGTCGCAAAGTTTGTGGTGGCATAAAAAGTAAAGTATTTAGGAAAGCGAGAAACAAAATGCAAGTACCAACGCTATACAAGCGGGTAGAGGCACGCTGCAGTGAAATGGAAGACAAGGTTGCTGAACTACAATACCTTCGATGGGTGCGTAGGGCGAATGGCTACCGGAGCAACTCCGTCAACCATTGTCTGCGTAAACGGGATGAAAGACAAAATCCAACCGGCCCCAAATTTTGGCAAGTAGTCCCGAACGTGAAAGAATATCTTGGAAGCCGTCTGCCGTCTTCTAACGTTCTTTGGAATTGAAGTTGCACACAAACCGGAAACAACCGTAAAGCATCAGATCAAGAAGGCCAAAGACCAACTTTCGTCGTAGGAAACATCTGAAGTCGTTTACCGAGCCTGGTGAAGTCTTGCGCAAATCAACTATGTCGGGAAAACTGGTTGAATACCTCGGACGCGGTTGGCTGAGCACGCAGCAGCAGAGGAGGAAGGCTGGCAACCCCCAGGTCGCGGCTCATTCGATGGGACCCAGGCACACATTCAAATGTGACGAAGCAGAAATTCTTGCTAGAGGCGACAACCGCGTGAGCCGCGAACTGCTCAGTTAGTGACTTTCCGGTCGACAATCAATCAACAAGCGCAACGACCTCCCCGCTCCATACTTAGTGGCGGGGAGAGCATGCGGATAACCTCTGTTCACGCTATCAATGTCGGCGAGTCAAATCACCCAAGAGTCCACACGGATGGCGAAGTCTGGTTGTCAGCCACTCGGCCGGCGTGCGATGAGCGTGGGAGCCGATAATCTTGACCAGCATGCAGGCGCATAGCAACTACATAACAACGGCATGCCCCAACATTTGGCCAGTTGAGATGTGATACACCCGGGAGCTGTCAACTCTGATAGGCATGTAGCGGCCTATCAACCACATGCCACAAATATCGCAACATCTGGTCAATCCACTGCCCTTATCTGACTCTGTCCTTAATGATGGATTCGAGTGAGAATCCGAAACGTCAGGCTAATAAAGTACTTGTTCCAGCAATCTTGTCTTCTTCTCCGCGACTACTTCCTGGAACTCGCCTCTTCGCTTCTATTAGTATTTCCGCTGCGGGGGATGTTAACTGCAAACATCAGATGTTTAAGGATTAGAAGGCTCAAAGTCGACTTTAACTTCCTGTCTCACATTAACTTAACCGCTAATCTATAACTTGTTTATGGTCTCACTCCAGTGGGATGAATACGCGTCACACGTAATTCCTTCACGTTCATACCACCTTTCCCTTGGTCTATATCTAGGCTTTCGCATTTTGCCTCTATAAATATTTCTCTTAGGAACATTTGTCCACTTAAAGGTAGGTCTTCTCCTATATTTTTGTTATTCATGGTGAAAATACCTGAGAATTTTACCTCAGAATGAATAAAGTCGTTATTGTTCGTTTCATTTCCCGAACCCAACTTCTGGACTTTAAAAAACGGGTTTCAAATAATTGAAGAGGAGATCCTGCATGATTTAACTGTTCAGCTGGCAATTCGTCCTTGAATCTACCGACTCCAAATGCCACTGAGTATCCCTCTTATCTACTGATACTGTCCCCTGCTGCGATGATTTCTGTTATCACCTTCGAACTTAAGCGAACTTTAACCGACCGCGGTAGTTTCATCTGTCTCACTACGCTGCCGGTTTATTCTGCAGTCAGTCAAGAAATTTTGCGGTTATAAATAATGCACTCCGGGTGTATAACTTGCTTTTTCTGGCTTGCTAATTCCCGTTGATGGAGAGTGTTTCGAATCCCCATCAATCCAAAACAACAGGGCGATTATGTTCTACTTTTTCGGATAGGCGATAGTTTTTCTCCATAAGAAACTCACTGACCACATCCACCATCCGCATTTTTCGGCGAACTACTCATTTGCAAGGAATTTTTTGCCATTTGCTCTCTTTCACATAAAACTGCATCCTCTTTGCCTTCAAGCTACCAGTAAGCAAGCGTCCCATCATTCAGCCGTAATCATTCTAAACACAAATTGCATATTTAACACGCTTTCTTAATGGTCTCAAGATTTATTTGTGAATATTTTTCTATTTATATTGATAGGACCCGCACGAATATTCAAGAAACAATGACTGTTATGAGATGTAGAGATCAGTCGTCCGTACAGAACTCCCGAAAAAATTTTTTTTTGTGTTATGCAGATGCTATAGTCGTTGTTTTCCTCACTGAAAAGGTGAGGCAAAACCGGTGCTGCTATTTTGTTGACAGTTTCTACTACTATTTGGGCGTTTGACGGGATTAGCTCAGAATATCTGACCCAGGCCCAATTTGCTTATCCCTTACGTGTCTCCATGGTGCGCAGGATTCTCGATATTCAGTGAGCCATGCATTTGCTACTGATTTTGTCTGATTCCTGCTCCAGCTACTAGCTCACGGCCCAGTGTGGCGTCCGACAATCTACTTGACAGAGAAAATTTTCCTAATGATACGCACATTGCATGCCGCGGACATTTCGAATGTTTGGAATTGAAATGAGTTTTTAATAGAATGTATTCGACTTTGCCTTTGTTTTTCTCCGAACGATTGGACGGTTTACTATTCGAAAATGTGGTGTAACGCTAAATGGAAATGACGCGGCTGTTTGCACGGGCTGAGATCAATTCTTGACGGGATCTTGAGTGAGATGAGGTAACCGTGTGTCCGCGAAGAAGACCGGTTCTTCTGCTCTTGCAACTGTTGTCACTCCCTCCTCCAACGTTGGCAAGAAGGCCCTCCCAATTCTCGTATGTCATTACTTCCTACGGCTCTTCCCCGAAGTTGCCCACAGGCCTGCACACCTCCCTGGCCGGAGCATACCCTCTTTTCTTGTATTATCTCTAGCTTTATTGTATTTCAAGCTTTTCCTGTTGGTAGTGCAAAATGGAAGTACTTCGAATTCTTTTTGCTCCCCATCTATGTTTTCGCGATAACTTGTCTAACACTTCTGAGCATTCCTTTTCAACTTGAAACATTCTTAAATATGCTACAATAATCCGTCTATGTCATCCTCAACCTCCTCGATCGCCTCTTGCTCCGATGTGTGAAACACCAGGATTTTGATCCTTTTCTTGTAGCCGCCTTCATTTCTATATCCCTTGCTCCTTTTGCATTTTGGTCTCTGATTCTGCACTCCCTACAAGATAAAATATTACTAAGCTAGCGCCCGTCTCCCGAGGATAAGATCCTGGTAAAAGACATCGTCTTCTTCCTCCGCTGTTGTCTTATCCTTACAGATATCGCACCCGTCATAAATGTTTAACGCATACTAGTTATGTACGCATTTTACTGTTACAGTGTCTTTGAAAACGTATGGGGTCCCGGTTATGTTGCTATTTCCGGCTGACGATGCCTAGCTGTGTTAACTCATAGTTCTCCCCAGGGGGTTAGACTGCGCGCGCTTCCAACGCAGTAAGACGGGGTTCCAATGGGGAAATTATCACAATTGAGTATATTATGTCCGGATACCTTTGGGCACTGACGCTAATATCGACAAAGACGTGTCTAACAGGGATACAAGAAAGGTTAAGTTTTAGGCTGACGGCAACAATAAAATAAAAACTTCACCTCGTTAACCTGTGCTAAATTACGCAGCCCACAACTTCGGTAGACGAGTGGATGCTGCTTCCTCGGCGAAAGGACTACAACGAGTTCAGTCGTGACTGACCAGCCCATAAATGGACAGTGTCAAAATCTGCTTGTGAACTGACGCTCATCGATCTGACCTTAGTAAAGAACGATGCACATTCACTTCGTTTCTGAGTCAAAATCTAGGCCAGAGCTCTCATAAACGCTCGGATAACACCGAATAACTGGCACTCATAAGATGTCAACAGCACGACGCACAAAAGCAGAAAAAATAAATTGCATTCATGAGCAGGTTATCTGTCAGGCAAATAATGGAATGAACAAAGTGGACGGCTTCAGTTTTACAATTTGTTTTCTGGAAAATCCTACAAGTATGGGCAAAATGTTGTTGAATTAGTGTGAAAGTTTTTGATAGGGCCTTACTGCAGCCAAAATGCAATCAGTCCCATCATGTTATCCATTCGGACAAACGGACGTTGCAACCGACATGGCTACCATGGAGGCCTGTAGTGTACTCCTGTCCGTGTCACTTGGAAGATTGTGCAGATCAACTTGTAAAATGGGAGGGTAGAAACGTTTTACTTTACAATGCCACAAGGTGTCCTCTAGGGCCAGCACATTTCAGCATTCAGACGATCAACCAGGCGCGTCCCACTTGGCGCCGAAGCCTTGATCAAGTTCCATCTGGCTGGCTCCATGAATCTGAACCAAGAACATTCAGGTGCCTTGGGTCCCTGCATAATGGCGCATGTAAGGCATCCACCGATGTAGGCGGCCTCTGCGGAATTGGGTACAGTCTTTACAGCCAAGAAGGTATTTTTTGGCAGAAACCGCTGCATCTCAGAAAGGATTCTGTGCTGGAGACCTGGGACCAAAATGAAGAATATGATTAATACGGAAAGGTCGAACTACAGCCTGAAATTAACTTAATCGGTAGCTCTAAAATCAATTATTTACTTATGATTGGATAATGCTGTTCATGGTCTCTACAGTTGATCTCCCAAACTGTTTGTTTTCTACGAGGTGTCTTAATCAGATCGTTTTCTTTTAAGACAGACAAGCGCTGTTGCAAGCCATCAGTATATTGCTGCAAGCAGAAAAGTCTATTTGGGGTTATATGAAACCGAGAACGACGTCATGGCCGAGCACTCGAGGGTCAAGGCCGTCATGAAAAAATTAATGGTCGTGTGGGACCGACGTCTAGTGCTTCAACTTGCTTACAGAACGGAATGCTGACCTTTGGTTCTCAATAGGGCTTTTAGAGTAGAGGCCCCACGATTGGTCAGGCATTAACGAAAGATACATGGTCGAGAATAGGAGGGGCCGGAGTGAAATTTCTAATTTATCCATCATCGACTACCATGCCTATTTAAATCACGTCAGAAATACGGCAAGAACGCCCGATTTTAAGCAAGATACAACTTGATTGAGATTCCCATTATGACATTGTACGTTAGACCTGGCCTGGAATGCTGCTCATTTTTATTTAGCCTCATGCGTGCTGCTGAGCGGAAGAAAAGCGAATCCATCGAACATTTTTTACTAAGAGAGTTTTAACCCCGGAACACCGGAATTTGTCATACCAAGAACGTTGCCGGTTTAGAGGCCCTGATCATTTGTGGTTTCGTAAATTACAAAAGGGACTATTTTCACTATTTAAGCTTTTATATAATCACACCTTTAACCCACTTACTACTTTATGACACCTTGTCCACTCCCGACGTAACAGTCATCGCAGGGTCTTTTTATTTCTTCCCCTGGTACTTAATGTTAAATATCATCCGTTCTTTGCTGCGAACACAATTGCTATTTGGAATTAACTACCGAGGAATGTGAAAACTCTGCAAAATTATCCTTTGTTTAGGTGAACTATTACTCGATTTTTGTATTCAGAAAAACTCTCACAAATTTTGGGTGCTGAATGCAACGATCGAATAAACCGTAACGATGGTGTTCGTGGTCTCTGATTCCCATGGCCGGTCTCACCAGGGACAATTTCTCTAGCCAACAACGACAGCTGTTCTTCAGTGCTCCTGTCTGGTCCAGTCCCAATTTCATGAAAAGAAATGACGACTGAAAATATCCGATGCAGTGTTGCCCCTCCCTTTCTTGACTGTCGTCATTTCATGGGCAGCAGTTTTTTTCTCCTCAACCTTCCAGACTATAAAAACACCATTATCTTTATTTTTCCCTTCTTATTGACAGGAGTCTTTTTTAACTGCTGGCCGGACTTGTGTTTAATGCTTCCCCGACAATGCCTGTAAACTGGTATTAAATACCATTATTATTATTATTGAGCAGGACAAATCTTAACTAAAATCCCCACCCTACTAACCACAGGAAGCCTAGTAATAACCAGTGAAGTCTTCCTAAAAAGACACATTTTGACGACCGGTACTCTAACGATTACACAGGAAGCTCAACTAATCAAAGCCTTTTTGATAGTGGGAAGAGAACTGTTCGACAAGCAGCATGACCAATTGCGACAACCCTATCAATCACACCGACTTTTAGTGCAACGCAACAGTCGAAAATGGAGACGAAATACGAGTGTATGAAGGCCCAGAAGGTTATAAGTCTGTTGAAGAAGCTGGTCTCAGTTCTAAACTCATTCTCAGCATATTTTTCCCCGCAGAAGAGGCCATATGTGTGGTGCCTCTCTGTCCCTACGGAGCTTTCCCAGAATATATTTGCAAATTAAATGTTGGAATGGGTGACCATTCTACATGAGTCATTGTGACACTAGCTCGAAGCGAAGCCAATTCACGATGGCATGGAACTAGAAGATTTAAAAAACGGAAGGCCATAGTTGGGCAGAACTGACCTTCAAGGTTTGCATATTCTCCAACAAGGAGGACATTAGTGCAGAGATCTTGGCGACTCTCGATTGGGCAGGCCTTCAAGCTCTGGCGCAGAAGTTTTGTCAGAGACGGTGCATTTGGGTCGAAGTACTTTGTCTTTGAGGGCTTGAAAATCCCCTCAGTACTGACTTTCCGCAGATCAGCGCTGATGCGTATATTTCTGAAGCAATAAACATCAGAAAAGTTAAATTTGCTGCCTGTGACTGAAGCCAGAGATAGTCAGACAGCACTATAGAAGATGGAAACTTAAGTGCGAAATAGGCAAACTGGAAAAGAGGCTTTTGACTCCGAGGGAGAAATACTTGAAGTGTAGGAATTTTTTCCCACAAACATGTGTTCATTTTTAACTTGCAAAAACATAGCGAAACGTGGAAGAAGAATAAACTATACACGGCGTTTTATCCTTTACTGATTAATCCAGCACACTTAATCTGCTGAAACAGGATGCTGATTGCTGAACGATTCTCGTCTGAACGACTAAGCTATCTTCGCACCGTGTAAGGACATCTGCGACGAATGCATGGGCTGCTAATTTTAGTAGTTGTGCGGTCGCTTGGCTACTAAGTCTCATATCGCAGGCACCGGTGTGTTTTCACCACCCTTTTGTGTTGCTGTCTCTGTTTTCTGGTTCAGCAGTGGATCCAGAGTGTCTGATAAACAGCTTTTTTGTTCCGGCAATTGAGTCTGCTTAATTTTAAACCAATTAGTAAGGCGATGATCGGCGCAAACTGTCACCCCTCAGGACCCATCCGCAAAAAATCCATTTCGTGACAGAGCCACCTGATGTGAAGCCGCCAAATCGCCTCATATGATTAGTGTGGAAGCAGCATGCCAACAAGGGGATGGTGTAGGAATCCCATTGGCTGACTTAGGACGCTGCCTGAATAGGCAAACAGCGGATAACTTTGAAAATCAGCTCGATGCCGTCGGGAATATATCTGGGACGGTAGGCAACACGAATAGGAGAGGCAAATGACGATGCCTTTCAAGTGGGGTGTGATTTCTGGTGGCGGCCGTCTCGCTTGAAGAACAATAAGGGGCAGAGTACAGTAGCCCGAATACAAAATACTCTCGTCAGGAAATTTTTACCCCTAGTATTCAAATTAAATCGCATGAGATACAAGGTTGGGCATCAAATGCACATGAAGATTTTTAATTTCCCTAGAAATTAAGCGCTAGCTTGGAATAAGTCAGTCTATTTAGGGCTCATAGGCTCAGACTGGAGTTTTATATGAATACTTGAGCCAAAGTCGGTCAGCCACAGCCAAATACTAATAATAATATAATAATAATAAGAACATTCTGCCTCTGTATCATGCGCCGCTGTGCGGCTGCTGGTTGGGCTCGAGAGAGTGCCCTTAAGGCCCAACGGAACGAGTGAGTTCCATATGAACGATCGGTGAGCGCCCCCTAACACTGTATATTCCCGATCGAAAACCGACAGGGCAACGGGCTCGTGGCCCGGTGGGTAGAGGCGTGGACTTCTAAACCAACAGGTCGCGAGTTCGAGGCTCGGGTGTTCCACACTTCAGGCTTGGGCATGGCTGGCTGACGACGGCTAACAAGCCAGAAATGGCCATTCCAGTCTCCCTTGTCTTTGTCGGTAATACCATTCTGCCAATAATAATATTCATAAACTGTCAGCAGGCAGCTTGTAGTATATGCATAGTTCACACGATACGCCACAATTGAGAGCACCAGAACTAGCTAAAAGCCCAGGTGTGTGTTTCCCTGATATCCTGCCGCTGTATAACACACCTGCGAGGGGTTTGCTTCACCAATGAGTCCCCCAGTGAGTTCCTTGTGTGCCTTCTGGTAGATGCCCAGTTTTAAAATTGAATTTCCTATCTGTGCTGTCAAGTATGATATTCATATTGACCCAACTGTGAAAACCCCCGCGTCTGGGTGGGATTCGAACTCCCCGACAGCAAGGGAAAGGCTTTAATGCAGCTAACTCGCCGAGTTTCTCACAGTTGAGTTAATAGGAATTGTTTGAAGTCTGCCATAACACCTATGAATTACGTAAGCCTGGTGGTCATCTGGTGGATTTTAGATGGATTACTTAGGCAATCCTGCTTGGGCAGTCAACTTACTATATCAGATTTGGTGGATTCCAGACGTTACAGTAGGTTGGGCGGGTAACTTGACCCAAATTTGATTAAACTCGCGTCGTCCGGTGGGACCTTGTAGCTCAGATGGCTAGAACGTTGGCTGTACTAAAGCCTTCCCCCTACTGAGTGGGTTCGAATTCCACCGAGACGCCGAGTTTTAACAGTTAGGCCACTATGAATCATTCAAAAACTGCCAAAACATCTACCAGTATTATATATGACCAATGCATATGCTACTGGCTGCCTGTTGGCAGTTTATGAATATTACGTGTCGCTGATGGACTTCGGCCCAAATATAAATACAAAAAATTTTAAGTTGGGCCTATAAGCTTCAAATAGACCAATTTGCTTCAAGTTGGCGATTAATTTCTGGGAAAATCAAAAACCTGCAGGCTTAAAACTGGAGTATCTACCAGAAGGCACACAGGTAACGCCAGGGGAGTCACTGATGAGTCGAAGCCCTCAGAGCTGTGTCATGTAGCGGCAAAATATCGGTCAAACACGTGCGTCTGGGCTTTTAGCTAGTATGTGTGCTACCAGCATGGTATCTAGTAACACTTACATTACTTGCAAAGACCTTATGCGTCGAGTTAGGATTACTTTACAAATATTTTCATGGGCGGCGTAGTTGGGGGATGGGGAGAAGAAGAAGAGGGGTGGTTTTGAAGGTCTTCTTGTAATAAGGCAAATGCGTGTTGTTTTCGAGTAAGGACGCAGAACGGAAGTTTGATTTGCTTAACTTGATTTATATTGGCGTAGTGTCCGAGAACAGCTGTGTTTTCACGTGACTGATCATCGCTTCGGTTAAAAATAAGTGCATGTGCACTAACATGCCGTGTGTTGCGTGAAATCCCAACACACTTTGCCTGTTATTTCTTACAGTTTACTACTCCCTTTTGGATGTCATTTAACCACAGTGGATGCTGATGAAATGAACGGACTACATCTTGAACTAGTTTTCTTCCAAATGAGTGTAGATGAGTCATAACGAGGATGTCCTCAACTTGGAGGAAGTAGACCTCGTTCTTAATCCTCTTTGCTCGTGCCGCCAAAGTTACGAACTTCCCCGCCACAAACGTCGCCACCACCACCGAATCAACGCGTACCAACCTACCTTGCCCATATTGCTATCGCACATGCATACCACGCATCGGCCTGATCACTTGCGAATCCATCACAGCGAGACTGGCGAACCAGTGTCAGGAGCACTAGCCTACACCCGCCCCAACTGCCAACACTGCGCACCAACCTTCAGCCAATGAAGGGGACTTCCGTGAAACTTTACGGTAAGACACTGCGGTCCAAGCTCCATCAGATCAGCTCATCCCACCAGCCAAAACACCACACACGAATCTACTTCACAACACCCAGCACACGAACAGAACTGCGCTACATACGTCGGTGACAAGCATGTTCTTTGGCGTAGATTGGTACCTGGCGAGGTTACGCGCGGCACGAGTAGAGGGGGTTGTTTAGCCCCACCGATCACAGCATCTGAGCCCATTTCCAGCCGTCCTGATCCTATTTCGCCCGCGGGCATTCGAAGTAAAAAGGACCAAAATCTACAACCCAACCAATAAGATGAGGCCATATCCCCAGCGTGACTCTGCATTGCCTGCGTAGTCTGCACGCCAAAAGAACACCCGAACCTCCTGACAGGGATTTTTTGGGATAAAGATTATTGCCCATTCGCGTGTTCCCCCATGTTGAAGAAGGGCAGTGAAGTATGGGGACTGCCTTAAAAAGGACAAAAAATCCTTGAAAAAGTGCGATGTCGGGCGACAGGACTAATGTGATGACCGACATCCGTCCTCCCCCAAAAAGATTTCGATGATCCAAGTTTCCGCACGTTGCAAAGTAGCGATGAGACGGCTTGTTTTATTGCCCCACTGTGCTACTTACTGTCCTCATTGTTAACAAACTGCATCTACAAGCATTCCGCGCCCCCTTATAAACGCCCTGTGCCCCCCATAATCAGTATCTGTTGTCGTTCCTGATGCTGGATCAGAGTGAGAAGTCAAGATGTCGGAAGAAAAAAATTGATGTTACGTCAATCGTTTCTCCCTCTTCTAAGTGCTACACACTAGAATTATGTGCAATGATTTAAAGTTTGCAATCGCGAATCTAACCTTCCTTGTGCTTACGCAAGTTATAAGTCCCCACCGTTATCCTGGCAATCAATCTGATAGGATTTCATGCTGCGTTGCTATGACAAACGATATTTATCAGGGCCGTCCGATAGTCTCATGACGAACTCAGAAGTTAGATGTGGAGATCATTAGAAGTGACAGAAACTGTCTCTTTTCTGGGACTAGTGAGTGGTTCATGAAGATCGCTTATGCGTCTATCTAAAATTAAAGAAACTGGTAGTTGATTTTGTCGTAAATGAAGCATAAAGTGGTTTCAAACTTACTTAGTTGGCGCATGAACAAACTCCGACAAGTCAATTTCGATGTCTTCGCACGCCGTCGAGTTATTTTCTACGAAAGCTGCCTAAAATAGGAAAGGGGACTTAGAAAGACTGGAGTTCCCTCGTTTAAGAGATGTGCAGTCGGGCAAGATTGAAATTCAGTTCAGTACTTAAAATTTTGGAAATAAATCTATGAAGTTGACAGGGCAAGGGGTTGGGGACGAGCGAGCACCTCGAACTTACATTCTGCTCCCACTTAATCATTTTATAGTCTAGATGCTGACGACGCGAGAACACAATCAATGCCAACCACTTTGAGACCATCGGAACGCAACCCTCCAATCGCGGAACTACTTGGCTTCGTTCGGCGTGTCGAGGTGATCAGTGGCACGGAAACAGCGGAGTGGCGTGCACAAACTTATCTTGACTGCCCAACGGAAATTAGACCTTCTGTTCCATCCTGGAGATCTGAGTCTATAATCCACGCAGTCGGTCATATTTCTTTGTTCAACGCCCAATCGCTTGAGCTGCGGTAGTATTTACAGTGGGTGACCGACCTCATGAAATGTTGGCGGAAATTCTGAAATGTGCCTTCGATTAGGAAAGATTATGTAGACGCCATTCTAATACTGATTATCTCGCGACATAATCCCATAATATTTCGGACTCGGAAGGATGTCGGCTTTTGAATGCACTTCTTTTCAACCTCCTATGGAAACCGTACTTGGTGAAAAATGACTACTTAAGAAGCATGAAGTTTTCCCATTGGTTTTCAATGGTTTTGCAAATTCAAATATATTTTATAGGAACCACGAGCAAAAATATGCTTTTTCAGTCGTTTGATAGAGAATCACGTCATCTTTATATTTTATAACCGATTAAGGAGTATAATTAGGTTTTAAAAAGTTTATAATTATGGGATTTTTTAAGACCGCACGATGTCCACTCATATAGTTTCGTGCGTGTCCGTTTACCAGTGCTTCTCGTGAAATGTACAACACAATCCTCATACATTGAAAAATGTTATGCACTCTATATGGTATCTTTTTAAAGGCGTAGAAGAATGTATGATTTTCCTTACACGGAACACATGCACCTTGTTGACTGAAATAGCTAAGCTCTAGTGAAACGGCTAATCAGGCTTTAAATTGTTCGGGAATTTAATACCTTTTTTAAAATCTAATTATACTCCTTAATCAGTTATAAAATATAAAGATGACGTGATTCTCTATCAAACGACTGTAAAAGCATATTTTTGCTCATGGTTCCTATAAAATATATTTGACTTTACAAAACCATTGAAAACCAATGGGAAAACTTCATGCTTCTTAAGTAGTCATTTTCTACCGAGCACGCTTTCTACAGGAGATTGATAGGCAGTGTATTCAAAAGCCGACATCATTTCGAGTCCGAAATATTATGGGATTATGTCGCGAGATAATCAGTATTAGAATGGCGTCTAAATAATCTTTCCTAATCGAAGAAGCATTTGAGAATTTCAGCCAACATTTCATGACATCGGTCACTCAGTGTGAGGTCCAGAGAAAAGACGTTTATCATTTTTTTCACTCCCAATAGGAACAGCTCGCTAAATGTCACACTGAAGTCCCAATTAGCGTGTCTCTTAGATTGAGAAATGGATAATTGGAGAACTTCGAGCCACTTGGTTACAAAGAATGCATGGGAAAGGCAGTTGGAGTAAGTGGGTCAACTGTGTTCTCACGCAGTCGGTGAGTTAAGCTTTGCAAAGTTTCTTTGTGAGCTTCGGTCAGTACTAAATTACATTCCCAGAGGCAAGGAAAGCCTCGAGGGCACGTTATTCGCTGTGCTGATTTCACTCACTCACACGTAAACTATTGCCAATTTGTGCTTGGAATGCGAATAGGCTGACCTTGAAGGCCAGTGGCGAGTTCTTGCACTCGACACGCATTCTGCTCGTTTCTAGGCCACTGCAGCTAGAGGGAAATTGTTACTGCCCGGCGGGATTCACGGGGCAGTGCGGTTCACGCACCGGCTACAGAGACAAGTCCATGAGGACTATCCGGTGAGAATTTGCGTTCCTTAGGTTAAACCGACTAGCACAAGAGGAACGCTGGGAGAGGGAACTAACCGAGTAGCCGGGGAAGCCGTGGAGCAGGAGTTCGTGTTTTTATTGAATAACTACGCAGCCACCAAAATAGTCGCCCACGCCAAAAACAAAACAGGCCGATAACTGATTGAAACCTGGACCTCGGATGAGAACTCGGTCAATCGATTTATCGACCTAGCGCCGGCGTACAGAGTCCTGCGTAGTCACCTCCAGTCTTGCGCCGTCGGTCGATGATTGGCCTACATGCTTTATAACTGTCGCCTGTTCTGCTGCTGTTACTACCTCTGACGATGGACTCCTGTACGAGTCTGAAAACTCAGGACAATAAACAAAGTGTTCCGGTGCTCGACTCTTCTTGTCCACTATGCCATATATTCGGCGAAGAGGTCTACGACTTTTCCAAACCACACCGCCTGATGCGCAAGTGGGAACATATTGCAGCACGTTTATCGATGCTGTTTGTTTTTGGCTCAACCGGTACAGAAAATACGGCCTTGACCCTCCACATCTCTCCTCCTCTTAAAGGCATTATTTTGCGTAAATTAGTCGATTCCTGGCCAAATTGGCTTCCCCCTGCCTGTCGACGCTATCTACATGGATAATTTTGATGTTATACTCGGGCATCGACAATGACGAACGACTCTGACCGCTCTACAGTAGCTGACAGTGGGCAAACCAGTAGTTGTCCTTACTTTCTTCTAGACTTCTCCTGACAAGGATCTCTACCCTCAGCTCGCGCCTGTCCAGAAATAAAATCTTCCCAGAAATAATGGACATTGGAGTCAGTAAAAGCGAAAATGTGAAGTACCCGCTGAAAAATGTACTGAGAAAAGCAGAGAGTTTCCTCCTTTGTCGTGATGACGCCGGCATCGATGAGGTTCGCCAACATGGTGTTTACAATGTTCTCTCCAAACTGGCCCACAAGGCAGCGGCCGCCCTCAATCAGGGAACCTAAAGGAAGTAGGGGCGATTGGATAAGATGGTATGCAACAGGAAAACCTAATCCTTGTGCTAACCTTAACCCTAGCTCCAAAGCCGACTCTTATCCTAGACTTAACATTTAACCCAATCATAACCCTAAAGTTAATCATTTCATTGAGTGTGTCCGAAAGACAACCTTAATACAACATGCCTACCAAAATCAAATAAGTAGGTGTGCTTTAGTGAGAAAAACGTAGGTTTACGTGTTCAATCACCACCAGTTTTGCATGCAGTCGGAAAAACAAGCAATGCTGCGAGGCGAAACCAATCATTCTGGTTATTGACGCACCTGCATTCACAGAGTACTGTGCCTAAGGAAATTATATTTTTAGTCTTTCAGGACGACCTCCTTGATATTCAACGCGTGCGCCCGCTTTGTCCCTTTGTGTAAACTGGAAGTAACTTGTAACCTACACGACATTTCCACCGTCGATTCCGACGATGTCCACCGTTTGCCACACAGCAAGGTGCACCAGAAACGGTGACTTGCGCGTTAATTAGTTTACAGTGAATGTGGATTTGCGCAGCATCTACCGCGCTCTCTCTTCCTCACTCCCCACCTGGACCCGGTGTCAAGACAGAGTCAAGAAGACCGGAGACGGGGGAGGGCGCAGGTGGCTGGCACGGCCGGACCCGTACCCAGGCGTGCCACACGTTCCCTGGTTCACAACATACACTTGACCAGGATTTTTCACCAGCAATGAAAACAACCTCCCAGCAGGGGTCAGAAGGACGAGGATGATGACTGAACAGCCATGTCCACCACCTCTATACCCAACGAGAACACAAGCGCATCTACCGGCAGGGTACCAGATGTCAGGGAACTGCCAGCGCATACCAGGCTGCGAGGGCCATCGTTTGCCGATGCTGGTATAGCACACACTTTCAGACCTTTTGACAAATGGTAACCTAATCGAGCAGACACGGCTCCACAACGAATTTGCCTGGTGGGGGAGGAAAAGAGCCGCGAGCCAGATCAACCCCCGCAGATACTCCACCGCCCTCCATCGAGACAGTGACTCATAGAGCGCGCATCTGTCAAGCCCGCCAAGCATCCGCCAGAAGATCAAAATATTGAAAAAAGAATAAAATCGATCAGCCCAAGGCGTTTGCATTTCTGCTCGATTTTACTCATTTAACGCTTTGACAACGGTGAGTCGACCAAGCTTCGTGAGACGTCCGCAGTCCAATAAATCTGTTCCGGTGAGTTCTCCCTCCATCACAAATTAGCATCCCTTATCTTTCAGCTTTGCTAATCTGTAATCTAATCATTATATGAAGACTTCTGGGTAACATATGGTTATGCAACCGCACCTGATGGACAAAATACTGTTGGGGTTAGGGCAACTATTCCCCAACCACTCAAAGTACGACCGGGCATTCCCAATAGCTTTTCTTTTGCATACAATTTCCTGACCTCGTTGCCTGTGCGTATCCTGGCCCCGCCTGTAACGAGCCCTATTATCACCGGTCCCATGTTACAGGTGGTTGGGGTTTGATTACCTCAGGTGCGGATACATAACCATATCTGACCGACTTCCGTTTTCATCCTACGGACGAGGTTCTGTTGGATTTGATATAGCAGCAACAGGTTCCCATGACGAAAAAATCTGAGCATAGAATGATAGAGTTATTTAAAGCTAAATTAGCCTGGTCATTCATTTCTAGCAACTTGCACCGACTACTAATTTCGTGCAGTCGTCTAGTAGGAGGTGTTACTGTATGAAAAAGCAGGAAGTGCAATGGGAAGCTGTGAGGATCTAGGTCCTTGATTTCCTCCGAACACGCGCGGGAGAATCAGCTCAGCCCATTCGACTCCGTGGGATAAGTCGAATCGTGTCCACTGCAAAATAGGTTCGGATGCAAGATTCCAGATGAAATGCTCGTAAGTGCCAATGCATCACCCCATAGTACACGTGAAGTCTTGTCTCCAAATTAAGCCGCCCTTCAATTTAGCGCATTTAGCCGCCCCACGGGCTTCAGCTGACTACATGGCTACCTTTGGCGAAGCTGTGTCTGGGCTCATTGAAGAACCTCAACTCCGACTTCTAAAAAGTGTTATAAAAACAAAAATGGATAAACTAAACCCTATGCCTTCAATGTCCTCCATTTTCAGCTCAGGCTGTAAACTCAAGGTAGTGCTTAAGTCGCACAAAATTGAACGCCAGGACGTTAGAGCTGTCAGAATAGCATCCTACTGCGGAAAAAAGGGGGGGGGTAGGGAGTGTCTGACTCACTCCCAGGTCGGTGCTGGATTCGTCGTTTAGTATCTTTCCCACAACCCCTCAGGAAAAATTCCTTTACTTTTTTTTACCATAAAGGACTCGTAACGTCTCTGTATTTCATATTTATTTTGGTCGTAGCTAACACGATAACAAGAAAGACTGTACTCTGCCCTTGCGGTTCTGGGTTTGAGTCCTGCTGATGTCACCGAATGTTTCACAATTGAGTCATAGGAGTAGAATTTATCAAGTAATAGTAGGTTACTGCAGATGACTTATTTCAGTGGTGGGCGGATGGCTTGTGATAATTATAGCAGATAGCCGGTGCCATTGATGTAGTGCGCGGAGGTCAACGAGAAGGGCGTGTCAGTATATAAGTCAGATGAGATCATGATGAGAATAGTAACTGCTTAGCTGACCTAACCAAGTGTGGCCCTCAATCGCTGTGCAAAAACGACATCAACAGTTAGGTGAAATGGTTAAAAAAACCGTCAATGAGAGAAGCACTGATTGTAGATGAGCTTTCGTCTGAAGAGGTTTAGGCAGAGCCAACCAACTACTAGATGTCTACAAAAAAGAGGTGCAATGGAGTACTGAACTGTCTGCTAAATGACGACAACATGTAGAAGATGATCATCGTACCTTGATACACTGGAAGGATTTCAAGGTCGCAGCCAAGGTTGATCACGAGGCAAGTGGAGGTCTTCGCGGTCTGTAAGGATGCTCTAAATGCGCTCATAATTGCCACTGCAGGAACGCCAAATTCGCTGAATAAAGACACCAGGAAGTTGGGTCGCAGTGCTGAAGCTCGTGTCGGAAGGGTAAGCAAAACCTGCAGAAAGTGCAAAAAAACCAGTGATTCTCTTAAAAGGTCGCGAACTTTACATCTTGGGTTCGGCCTAGGGAAGTTTACAGTTGTCGATAAAGATATCTAACTGATAAAACAGACGAAGATATGACACAGGGGCTGGTCGTAATACATGTAGCCTCGAGCCCAATCCCAGGAGGGGTACCTACTCTTGAGTCCTGCCCCTAGAACTAACCACAACTTTTACTCCCAATCTGAATTTCCTCGCAACTTAGCAAGAAGTCATTTTTAATACACTGGGGGATTCTTATTCCTGTGTCTTGTGTCCAGGCAAAATCTAGCGTGGGTTGACTGACATGTCGCAGTTGCAAAAGACTGTTTTCTGCTCCGGATACAATAATCGTGCATTTTATCAAATTTAAATCAATTAATGACGTCGGGTTAGGTGACTGAAAATCGATAATCGCAAATTGCACAAACATACCTTATACTCGGCTGGATCAATGTGCAGTTTCGCAAAAACCTCACGAAGAATTGACGTCTCAATATCTGGGTTCTCCTTTGTTGTTGCTTCCTGAGGCGAAGGATGACGTGAAGAGAAAAACACATTAATATTCGTCCTGAAGGGAGCGCACATTATGCTGGGGGCAAAAGAAACAGTTTCTAAAAACTTTCAGTACGCTGGTAAGTTTACAAAAAAGTTTAATTTTCGTCATTCACTTTGTTTAGCAGTGCGAGAACTCCAAGATTTCAAATATACTATCGCTGAACCCGGCCGGGAAGGTAAAAGCTGTGTGCAGGGGTTACAGGGGACTTGAACTCACGTCTAGAGCATCGTAAAGACTAGGGAAAACTATACAACAAAATAAATCTGCATTGATTCCTGCGAGTTGTAAGCCTAGAGGAATTTTTGACGAAGTCCACTAGCACTGCCTCAGAGGCGTGCATTGCACTCACAATTGTGGGTTAGGGGGTACTGTCATTTATAAGACGGAGGATTCCCTCCTCATAGTATTTTTGCTCACTGTATTAGAGAAGCCAAATGGGTCCTTCCAAGACGGCCTCCGGATTGATGCTTGAAGTGTAGCTGACAGCTCGTCGCGTTGACTCGATTGCGTCAAAGATCAGTCACGTTGCCTGTGAGCGGTCCCAGACTGTCTGACCGACTGTAACACCTGCATCCAGACGACTAGAACCGCCCTTGTCTCGTGCGCTTGAACTCGCTCACACAAACCGACAGAGCCAGCCGACAGCACGGACACGCTCTCTTTCTCTCTCACACATTCTCGGGGATGTCTTAAAACTGTCACAGTGGGTACTGTCGACCGAGACAGCAACCCCGGCTTCTGTAAGGCGTAAATCGCACACTCTTGCATCTTTATTCTTCTTCTCCCGCCAGCTGAGACCTGGCATGAGGATTGTGGTGCTACCCGGGGCGGCATCTCAGGATCCTGTGTGGAATGAGTCTCTCATTCTTGTGTCTTTCGCCTTGCCACGCTAATCGACACCTAGTCGATCTGCTGGGATGGGTGAGGTACCCTCACTGCTATCCGACTTGTGGTTTTTTGGGAAGATAAAAAGGCAAAAAGTGGAGTACCTGTGCAAACGGCAAAACTTTAAACGTAACGCCGCCATATTCCTACCTAGCATCCGATATATGTGCCCGGTGATCTAGTCTTAAAAATAGATTATCTACAGCTCTCATCGTTTTAAATTGCAGTTACTAAGAAAACGAGCTAGGAAGATCGCATTTTTCTTGGAATTACTAGTCGTGAAGCAGAATGAGATGCGTCTTTTGATCGCAGTCCGTACAGTCCTGATAAGCAGTTGTGTCAGGCAGCGGCAGAATATCGACGAAACACGTGTCTAGGTTTTTAGCTAGTACTTGGGCTGTCAAGTATGGCAAAGCATTCAGTACTTTCGTAGTACTGTCCACTTAATAAAGCGTGACGGAATGCTTTCCTGCCCTACATGTGGTTGGAATCGAATTTTGTGAAGCCGTGCTTCTCAACCTGCGTGAGTTGTGGTTAGAATGATATTGCCGAAAAATTCATTAATTACGTGGGCCTGGTAGTCATTCGGTGGATTCTCGATGGATTGCTTAGGAATTGCTTAGGCATTATCACAAGTGGCCGCCCACACCTAAGAAATGGGTCACGAGCATAACTTCGCAGCCACCAAAATAGTCGCCCACGCCAGAAACAAAACAGGCCGAGAATTGATTGAAGCCTGGGCATCGGATGAGAACTCGGTCAATCGATTTATCGATCTGGCCCGGAGTACAGAGCCCTGCGTAGTCACCTCCAGTCTTGCGCCGTCGGTCGATGATTGGCCTACATGTCTTATAACTGTCGCGCGTTCTGTTGCTGCTACGAGTCTGAGAGCTCAGGACAATAAACACAGTGTTCCGGTGCTCGACTCTTCTTCTTTACTTAATAAGTTCTGTTTGGGCAGTCAGCTTGCTGTATCAGATTTGGTGGCTCTCAGACGCTTCAGTAGGCTGGGTGGGTAACTTAACAGAAATATGATCAGACTCACGGCTCCCGGTGGGGCCTTGTGGATAAGGTGGCTAGAGCGTGGGTTGTACTCAGACCTTCCCTTTGCTGTCGTCGATTCGAATCCCGCCTAAGCCGTCGAGTTCCTCACAGTTGTGTCAAAATGAATTATTCAAAATCTGCCAGGATTCTTATTAATTGCCGAAAAAGACAAAGGAGACGGGACAACGAGCCCGTGGCTCAGCGGTCAGGCCGTTGGACTTCTAACCAACAGGTCGCGGGATGGAGCCTCAGGGATCGCAGAACCCTGAATTTGGGTATGACTGACTGATGACGGCTGACAAGTCAGAAATGGTCATTCGAGTCCCCCTTGTACTTGTCGGCGATCTTCTCTTGTCTCTACATATATATGTATATGTGCGTAAAGAATGCAGTAATCAGTAAAGATATGAGACACAGGGATGGGCACTTGTGGATTGTTAGCCGTCGTCAGCCAGCCTAAGCTAGCCTCATATGTGTGGCACCTGAAGAACGAACCCACGTTCATTTTTCTTTTAGGTGTTAGTAGGTCCGACACTGACTGCTGAGTCAACGATTCGTTGTCCAGTCGGTCGCTTATGCTGCTGACCTCTGGGCTGTTGCATGCAGGACTCTAGGTCCAAATACAGCGGGACTAACGCGTGCCGTAACCTTGTCGATGAACACACTTCTAACATGCATGCATGTAAATATGTAAATACAGAAAGTTATTGAGATCTCTCTCGAGCCAGTAGGGTACAACGGAAGGGATGAGTTCCGTAAAAAAGACCGGTGAGCACCCATTTACCATTATACATATATATGTCTCACTGCTTACATCCTAAATCGCCAAACTCCATGTTAGGGTAGGCCAATAATGTGCTTCCTCTAATCAACTAGTTCCGCAATGCAGAATAACATATTACCTGTGTGGCATAAAATGTGGTGTTGTACATAACTGCAAAAAACTATCAAAATCCTCTAATCACACAAAATTAGCTCTCCCCTGCGACTTTTAATGGTCTAGCCGAGTTTCCCTGGTTACGTTGCCTGTGGCACGGTACAGAATGACTATGGGTAATAGAGCTCTGGGTTCTTTAAGAAAACTTCTCAGGCATGCATCACGTGCAGGCAACACCTCTGCCAATTCAGTTTTAATGTCTTACGAGATGTAAATTAAATTTGAATACTTTTCCGCGCAGGAAGTTTTTTTTATTATAGTAGCAGTTTAATTGTTTGTTTTATGTTTTTGAAGAGCACACGCGATTTAGGATGCTGTTGCCATTAGGAACAAGAGGACGCTTTTGTCAAGATTTTTTTTCGGGACGCTCTTTCTAATTCCCATCCTTGAATAGTCTCGAGGGCTTCTGACGCCATGCAGTGATCGGCTTTTTCTGGCTTTCCGGTTGCGTCAGGCTCTTACTATTGGCTGGAAATGTTCATAAGTTTAGCACACTCTGAAGTTGCGTGTTCCGTTTGGATTAAGAGCGGGATTTCGCTCGCCTTCCATCCCCTAGATTGTTGTCTCCCCGAAGGGGAAGGTGTGGGCCGATTCAGAAAAAAATATCTGCATAGAGGCCATCTCACTAATGCTCTCTAAATCTGACTCTATGTCATTGTCAGTAAAGTTAAGAGATTAAATTAAGCTTGTATGGGCAACGCTGGGGAAAGTAGTAACGTCAGTACATTTCAGGAAACGAGCTACGATCTCCTGTGCCTCTCAACTGCCCGTTTGAATAACCAAATTATCATGCAAGATCGCAGACTGCGGATACGTAACAGCAGGGTTGCATTATGTGTTAGCATCATGGTCGCCGAGTCGGGAAAAATACTCTACACACATAAACTGCTAGGGCATGTATAGCCAGTTTACTATCGTAGGAAGGACGTTCACTTATCAGGTTGCGGGGCGTACTCGTCTCGTTGGCTCAGTCTAGAACTCTCACTGACAGTCGCATGACGAAAAGCAGTATTAGAAGGAAGAAGTACCGATAATGACAAGGGAGACCGAGATGGTCATTTCCGGCTTATTAGCCGTCGTCAGCCAGCCGTCATTCCTTCAGACTGCCCCATGTTGCCAAAACTGATCATCTTTTAAACAGGAGAAGAAAAGCAACTTTTGAGTTTTTCAGGTCCAAAATATGCCATTTACATTTGCCGTGGTCCGCTTAAACCACCTGTTCCCTATAGAGGTCCAGTATAATTTTAGACTAACGGTCATTTAGGAGGCCGCTGATGTGAGTGGAAATCCTTCGTTTAAGAAACCGTGGGCAGATACTGATTTTGTCACCGAATATTAATGAGGAGTCGGGAATAAATTGGAACGTATCCTTGGTTGTCTACTTAACAGACAATAAAAGATGTTTTAGTAAGATTGCCGGGGCAGGGCATACTGTGGTTTTACGACGTAAATATTCGTTTCTTATGAAAATGATAATTTTTTTCCTGACATCAACTTACACCCATCTGTCGCTGTCGAAGGGGAAATACCAACCTCTGCTGTGCAGTAGTTTCGCTGAAGAGAGTTTTGTACACCTTCTCCCCGACGGCGATACTCCGGTTGGTGGAGGGTTCAACCGCTGTGTTCGACAAGTCTGCCTTGCTGGGCGAGCGGAATGAAGTCACAGTGGGGAAGCAGACCTCGGGTGGTGCCGCTTGAAGGAATAAAATTGAACCTGGCTTATTTTATTTGGATCAAAAAGCACCAGCTGGAAGGCTGAAGTATCGATTTTTTGCGCTTGGAATCCCGTTACTGAGTGCAACACTGCAATAAAGCTTTGAATTGTTGCCTAAATTTGTTATGAATCTGCATTTCTTCCCCCATGTTTCGTTCGGTAGCAAAAAATCGGGGATTTTCACCGCTGAGTTTCCAGATGTGCATAGTACTAAATTTAAAATCAGCATCTAGGATGTTTGCATAAACGTCCTGGTTGAATCTGCAAAAACCTGTCTGTTTTCCTAGGTTAGTTTACTCGAACTTCAAGTGATGCAGACATTCTTACATGCACGTCCTTTGATGCAAAAGTTAGAAGACAGGGAAACTTACGTTGATTCCTGAGTATGCCAGCACGAACGAAGTAATTGCCCACATCGATTATAACCGTCTTCTGAAATATCAGTTAAAGAAAGCAGATTAGAAGGTCAGATATGTACTCTTCATTGATCAACTAGGCGTTGCTCATATCTGCCCTTTCTGAAAGGAAAAGTGGAGAATGCAGCAAGCTATAAGCGTCTGAGGGAATGTAGGTAGGAGACTGTCTGGATAGAAGGCACCACGGGGAGATAGTGGAAAAGGTTTGGGAGTGAAATGCCTTGTGCCGCTTTCGTAGATTCAAAAAAACACATTGGGCTGACTACGAAGTCCGAGTTATCCCCGCCAGTTGGCTACCTTCCAAGCCACGGCTTTTAGCGCACCGTGATAGCTTCGAAAGAGCCAAATTGGTTAAAGTGAGAAAAATGTGCTAAGACATTGAGGTCGAATGTGGTTTGGTAGCCCCACCTGAAGTAAACAAACCCCAATCACCTCTTATACGGACCGGTGGTAATAGGGTTTTTTTACAAGTCGAACCCTAACCCCTAACCACAACCCCTAACCATAACCCCTAACCCTTAGCCCAAACCCCAACAGTACTGTGTCCATCAGGTGGGGTTACCAAACAAAATCTTACCGACATTGACCTCACTGTCTACTCCCATACCTTGGCCCCAACCACTGTCCGAGCCGGAGCTGTTGGTTAGCTTTCGATGCGAAGAAACCCCAGTTTTCTTGTCCGGGCGTCCATTGTGGTACGGTTGACGCCTGGTGCATCTTGCTAACTTAATGGTGCTTGAATAATAAGAAATACCTGGACGGGACAATACATTAATTTCCACAGTTTTGTTCCCCTCAACATCAAACGAAATCTAGTCCAGGGATTGGCAGCTAGAGTGCGACGTATCTGCTCTCCTGAGACTGTGTAGGCAGAACTCCAGAAGCTGCGGGATACACTCCACGAAAACGGATACCCAGAAAGATTTATCCTACGAAATATAGGGGAGCGCACTGCAAAGCCTACCATGGCAACTGCTGAAAAGAAGGACTTATTTATAAGACTGACTTTTCAAGGGGACGCAGCAAGTGACCTAGTAAGAAGACGTCTGAAGACAGCGATCACTAGCGCTTTCCCCGCGGCGAACTTACGTGTATGTTTCACTAACTCTCCCCTCCTACGCTTGGGAGGTAAAGACCGACTCCCGTTGCAGGCCACATCAATGTGTATTTATTCATTCACTTGCTCCTGTGGAGCGGGATACATCGGCCGTACAACGAGACGCTTGGAAAAGAAAGTACGTGAGCACATACCGGCCTGGCCAGGCAAAGGTGAGAAGAAATCGATCTCGAGTTCTATTCTCGCACATCTTGTCGATACGAATCACCGAGTCGATGCCAAAGAAGCCTTTCAGATTGTCTACCTGACACCAGCAGGCTTCTCCAAAGGCCTACGCCAACGGGTGCTAACAACAGCTGAGGCTGTGGCTATACGGCTAGCCAATCCAGTGCTATGCTGTCAGAAGACTCTGACACAGGCGCTCTGTCTTCCGTGGCCAACGCCGACCCCAACGTCGCCCCAACCTCCTGATGGCAGGGTGTGTGCACAACGTACCCGACGTACTCACAGCCTATGCCCCCCCTCTCCGTCGCCCCCTTAACCCAATGACCACGACACGCCGACCACGCCATAGCACGCCTCGTCATGCGAGTGGCGTGAGAACGATGATTGGCGTGGGAACGATGGATGTGTTAATTGTCCCCGAATCACTTATAAGTCATGTAATTCACATAACTTAAACTTCTATGTAACCGTTTTGGCCTGATGAAGAGTTACTGAAAACAAGTGTTCGCCAATTTGACTTTTCAAATACGTTTTTCTTAAAAGAAAGGCAGAACTTAAATCCGACTGCCATTGATTCAGTCGCCATTATAGTAGCGTTGAGGGTGGAAGGAGGTGAACTGGCAGTCTGTCGTTCTTAATAGTGATGTGGCAGAACAAAACATCTTCCCTCCACCGCCGACTTCCGGCTCACAAGCAACTGCTTTAAAAAACAGCCTGACACTGCACGTATTTGGGAAGGGCGCATTTTCGTAGCATTTGCTTGGTTGGGCACTCTAAATCCCTTTCCCCGACCGTACCATTGAAACTTTTTGATTGAGAACCATTGCAAGGGAATTGAAATCTTACCCTTTTTGATGCTGAGACCATGTTCAGATTGCTGGGGAAACTTATGGCCTTCCTAGCCTCCTTCGAGGCCCCTGAATAGAGGTTCTAGAAAGTCGGCAAATGAAAAAGAAAAGAAAGTAATTATACTTGGCTACCAAAAGCCTTCGTTCCCTTCTGGAAAATTTCAACTTTCTCAGTTGGCAGAAAAGGGAACAGGCAGTGGGGTGGGGGCACTTTCTTTCAAAATTTGAACTTCCTAGCGGCAAATTACCTCATCTTTATGGAAAAGTGAAATTTTGTGAGTTTTCCCTCCCTAAGGGCTGGAACTGCTCATCCGTAGACGAGTGACGGGGAGACGAATTAGCGTAAATGGCTGCCTTTTGAAACGGGTCATCAGTTCAAATTCACAGCCGCCAAGATTATTGTCCATACTGGAGGCAGAATAAATCAAGAATTGATTTACATCTGGAACTCGATGAGAACTCATACAATCTGTGTATTGATCTGGCGTCGACACAGAGGCCGGGGCAGTCACCTCAGTACCTGAATCACTGATCGCTCTGTTGTCCTTGGCTCCCTATAACTGAAGCTTGTTCTGTTGCTGCCGTCATATCTGATGATGGTCTTCTGAGCGAGTTTGAAAGCATAGAGAGTGAGAGAAACTTTTCGATGCTCAGACAGTCTTCCTCTTTCCCGCTTACTTATTGAAGCGTTACTGTCGCAAATGACTGGCCGGCGGGTCTTGTTATTTTCGACAGATTTTTGCAAAACAGAACTTGTGTTACATGCGCCTTACATCTAATAATTTTGTATGTAAAAGAAAAGCAGGAAGTGTAGGGTTTTTTAATGTTTTGTTTGCAGTGGCAGCACGGGAAACTGCATATCAAGAGCACACCCCGAGGGATTTGAATATTCTGCGGGTTTGGACTTGTGTGCCAAGTTGTCGGTGGCACAAACCTTAACTCACATACGACAACTTTCCTTATAAAGGAGTAGGTTGGGATATTGTCGTGGTCATTTCTGACTGGTTTGTTTGTGCATCCACTTTATAACAACACGGTTACAATGCGCTCCACACTGTTATGCAGACGAAACCATATTTTCAAAAGTTACAGTTCGTTGCAGTAGCGTTAAAGCTTCCTTAGATAGGTAAATTACCGATCGCACCCGGCAGGAAAACGGCTCATGGTTTTAGGTTAACGCATAGGATTTAACTTGCAGTGATCAGAGTAGCCCGGGTTCGACTCCCATGCATCCAAACCTTGGATTGGAGTATTGCTGGCTGGCGAGGTGTAATACGTCGGAAATGGTCGTTTTAGTCCCCCAAGACACAAGGGGTGAACATAGCCCGTCACCCGATCGATGAATGCACCTCCAAAATAAGTCCCTATTTTCGATCGCAACGGACAAAACGACAGAACCGTGACCTACTGGTAGAGCATTGGTCTTAATAACGCTCAACTGCTAAAGAAAACCCTGAGTTTGGCTGAAATGGCCGTTCCAGTGTCCCTTCGTCTTTTCTCGCTATCTTTGCATATATATGTGGTAGAAGCGTGCTCATCGATTGCAGCATAGAGCATAATCGTTCCCGTTGATAACACATCGGACAACAGCTGGCAGGGCAACGAACCCGTGGTTCAACGGTTAGGGCATTGGACTTTTAACCGACGTGTCACGGGATGGAGTCTCAGGGGTAGCAAAACCTGGGGTTAGGTTTGGCTGGTTGATGACGACCAGAAAGCCGGAAGTGGTTGTGTAGTCTCCCTCCGCCACTATATGTATAGATACACAGAATAACACTGCCGACACGGACAGCAGGGACTGGAATGGCATTCTGGCTTGTCGGCCGTCATCAGGCAACTATTCCACTGAAGAGCCGAACCCCACACACCTGTGTCACGCAGCGGCAGAATATCGGCGGGACACGAGTCTGGCCTTTTAGTTGGTACCTATGTCTGGAATACGGTATAATACGTTCGATGCATACATTTCATACTACTCGTACTACAACTTGTTTGTAGAATGGGCATTACGTGGTTATTCCACAGTAGTCGATTGTATTCGGCTCAAATGTTCATGGAGATTTCGGTTCTGACCCTGAAAATTCATATGCCGAAGACTTATCTCCATGGCCTGAACTGAGTAATTTCTGAAATTATTCTCTTCATATATATGATGGTAGGGGGCGCTCACCGATCGTTCATACGGAACTCACTCGTTCCGTTGTGCCTTAAGGGCTCTCTCTCGAGCCCAACCAGCAACCGCATAGCGGCGCATATATATATATATAGGCAGAATGGCATTACCGACAAAGACAAGGGAGACTGGAATGGCCATTTCTGGCTTATTAGCCGTCGTCAGCCAGTCATACCCAAGCCCGAAGTGTGGAACACCCGAACCTCGAACTCGCGACTTGTTAGTTAGAAGTCTACGCTTCTAACCACTGCGCCACGAGCCCGTTGCCCTGCCGGTTTTCGATCAGGAATATACAATGGTAGGGGGCGCTCACCGATCGTTCACATCATGCGCCGCTGTGCGGCTACTGGTTGGGCTCGAATGAGAGCCATTAAGGCACAACGGAACGAGTGAGTTCCGTATGAACGATCGGTAAGCGTCCCCTACCATTATATATATATTCACTCTGGAATGGACGTATGGGTGATAAAGGTCACGAACAAGCCGAAGTCGGTCAAGGCTAGGCCAACTGAGTCGGTGAAGTCAGCAAGTAGTCATGTACGATGAGGCTGTAAGATTGCCTCCATAGTGACGCGAAAGTGTCTAACACGACCTGGATCAGGATGTATAGGATGTCAATATAACTTTTATTACATTTAGGAATATAGGGGCCGTTTGAAGAGAAAAATAGAACACCAATCACCACGCAATACAAGCAGCATATAACTCCCTATACAGATAGCAAACCTGACTCCTTACAAGGGGGAAGGGTTTAGGATTACACTTTGTTAGGGGGAACTAGACATAGACGACGAAAATTAAAGAACAGCTGTGCATATAGCGTGCCAAATTATTTCCACAAGAGCCACTTTTTAAGTAGACTTATTCTGGAAAATGTATTCCCTTTCTGTTGCACTGTAAAGGGCCTTTTCCATTCGAACCAACTGAGATAACGCTGAGATTTAGAGGTGAAATGCAAAGTACCCCGAAATACACCAGCAAAGCCTACCTAACAACAATAAACGTTATATATCTAAAATGAGCGATTGCACCTTTCAAGGCTAGTGCAGAGGTATTTAACTGAGTAAAAGGAAGCTAAGCGATATTTTAAGGTTTTTAGAGTCCAAAAGCAGTTACCGTGACTGGCGGCTTTAGAGCCTCCGGCGGAAACTGCAGTTGATGCGGAGTTTGTATCAGAGGGCGGTTCATTAAAGTTTTTGGAGCGTTTGTCTGCAAGAAAGACATAAAGGAGAAGGTGCGCTTACTAAAAGTAAACAGATTAATATTACAGAAAAGAGTAGTAATTGCCCGCTTTCGCACAACAGCTCAATACATTTCAGTTTTCACACCCATCGTGGCCCAACATTCTTCGGGTGCTACATGTATTTAATGCGTATTTTGCTATTTGCAGCCCAAGATTTATCGTAAGGCGAGAGATACGGCATCAACTGTTTGCAGGGCAGCTGTACACACCCCTCAGAATGCTAGGTATCTTATAACACAGAAGTCGGTAATGCATGCTGGTGGACAGCTGAGCTTCTACCGACAGAATCTAAGAGGTGAGTTTGAGGGCACGGAAGAACGCCGCTGCCAAATGACAGTTACAGCGAGCATAATTCCCAGGTCGTTATTACTCCACGAATCAATGCCAGTGATGAAACTGCGGGAATTAACGACTTGGGCTGGACTTCCGCTCATCATGTGATGGCATGGCAACTGCATCCCGATAAATACCGCCTCCCTTATGCGTACATGGCTATTGCCTGCGACTGTGTCTGAGGATGGATTCGGATGAGAGTCCGAAACGACAGGTCAACAAACGTTTTGTTCCAGCTATTGCATCCCATTCTTCGGGGGCTTAAAATCTCCACTCCACTACTGAATTATTGAAAATATGAACAGAAGTGACAGCAAGATCCTATTTAGTAGCCGTATCTGTTAAGGGTTAGGTTTAGGGGTGAGGGGTTAAGGTTAGGGGTGGGGGTTAGGAGTTGGGGGCTGAACTTATGGGTTACGGTTAGGTAGGAGGGGCTAAGGTTAGGGATTGGGGTTGGGGATTAGGGTTGAGGGTGAGGGGTTAAGGACAGGGGATAGTGGTTAGGGTTAGGGGCTGGAATTAGGGGTTAGGCTAGGGCCTGTCTGCTGCAGGTACGTCTACAAAACAAGATCCGACCAAAGTAACATAGAAAGTGAATGGACATAATTTGAGAAAACGCCCGAAATCTGATGCGCACGAATAACACGCCAAGGTATGCAACAAAATTAACAAAATGTGAGCAGCTAAAACATCCCATTATCAGATTGGGCTTGGAGCTCTGGACTAGGTTGAAGTGAAATTGTCGAGAGAATGACCGAACGAGTCGAATTTCCTCGACAGCTGACTTAAAACACTAAGTGTGACCGGCGGGGATTGGTGGACGACGACTTCACTGCCTTGGAGGGCACAGGAAAAAGTCGCATCTACCAAAAACAAGTAATGTAGACATGCTCCTGTAGTGTCTTTTTTAGAAATCAGTGACACTAATGTTTTATCTAAGCCACTGGGGTGCAGTCTGGAGGAATTTCTGTCTTCAAGTCCACCGGGTTGAAACGAGGGTCACTTTCGTTGTAAATCAGGAAGCATCTGTCATAATATTTTTACTTTTCAGAGGCTTTCCGGTCTGCCAAAGCAAGCGATATCAGCATTTGAGTGCCCGTCAACGCTGCTATAACGAATGTTAACGTGGATTATTCAAGGACGACGGCGAAGGCCAAAACCCCTCCATCAAATCCCTATGGAATAGCCCACAGGAGATGCAGTAGGATGGATACCTCAGGAAATGTCAACTGAAATACTGAAATTTGTTTCCGATCGGAAAGAATATTCTGAAGGGGTTGCAATATTGGTTATCGTGCAGCGGAATCCCAAACTACTCCGGTCGTTCCAGGAAGCCAGCTTTTGAATGGGCCTTTTTCCAACCACCTGGACAAAAACACCCCGTAGGAAGTGGCTAATTAAGCAGTATTGCGCTTTTCCCACTGAATTTCGAGCTTTCTGTAGATTCAAATATATCTTGTAGAAGACGTGCATGAAATCATTCCTTCTCGTATTCATTTGGCAAAAAGTACGTCCGTTTTGAAGTATACATTCGAAGAAAAGATATATTTCGGCTTTAAAGGTTTTGTAGTTCCGACGTATCAAGACTGTGAAATGGCCATTCATACAGAACCGTATTAGTATGCTTATTAGCTTTCCTCATAATGTATACACCATAGTCCATTTTATGGGCTCTGTGTGAAGTCATCTTAGCAACGTAGAGAAATATATGATTTTCATTTAACAGAAAGCACACAGCATGTAGTTTTAAAATCAGACGCGCAGAAGTAGCTGCAGGTTGAATTTAAAATTAATCGGGAATTGGAAATCCTTGTTTACAACCGAGAGATGTCCCGTCTTTGGATGTAAAATTTCGAGCAGGCGTACTTCCCTACCAAATAAGTACTACAAAGAATGTCTTCTTGCAAGTTTTAACATAAAATACAGTTAAATTTATGGGGACATCGAAAATCAATGGGAAAACCTTACGCTACTCAAGCAGCTGGAAAGAGGCTCATTCTGAAGTCGGCTGTGACTGAGCTATCATAATATTGTGCTGCAGGATAATTAGTATTACAATCCTATTTAAGTAATCTTTCGGAATCGAAAACATATTTCCGAATTTCAATTAAGGTTTCTGGGATAGAATCCGGATCGGCAAACGGAGAAAAACCTGGCTTGCCACACAATGGCGTTCGAAGTCCGCATATCACGAATCATCCTAGAGAAGTCGGTGCTATTGGGCTAGGCAGCTTTACAGTGTCCGTCACTGCCACTTTTTCCGTTGCTTGAAGTTGTTTCGATGTAATTAAAATTTCTCAGGGTCAAACGTTATAATTGGTGTGTCAACGTAGTTTATAAATTCCAAATGCGAAAACTACCACGCCTGCAGAACGCTTTTCATTGGAACCCCATTATGCGAAGGCCATTTAAGTTAATGAAGCCCATGCATTCCAATAGTCGAACTTCCACATCAATCACCTTATGCTGGACGACCTTATACAAACAAATTCCCCGCCAAATTACAGCAAAACGAACCTTGTCTTCCTTCGCAGTCACTCCCGCAGTCGGGCTGTCGTACGGGAAGGGGATGGGTTTTGTGTTCCGGGGCACAATGTAGTCCTGTAGAGAAGACATCGACGGATACATAAAAAGCGCCTTATTACAGTTCAGCGGTTTTAAGAAAGACAGAAACAGAAAATCTGCGACAGACTTTCCAGGTTTGCTATTGTTGTCCTACCTAGACTGAAGGTTGTCTCACGCAAGGGGCGGCGCCGCAGAGGTGCTGGGTTGAAACGGGGGAGTGAGACTGGCCCACGGTATGCGTTTATAATGTTGCGTTGAGGCTGCGCGAGCAACTGACTACCACAGTACGTGTGTGTGGTGGCCTACCTTAGCGCGTAGGCCTTCACGCCGCTTAGGTCACCGCGCCCAACTTCACCAAGTAGTGGTTAACTGGCTCGAGCAGTCGGCTGATGCGTGGGAGAGGGAAGAGTGAGAGTGAGATCGACACTTGAGAATCCATTCCCATGGCAAATCAGCGGATTTCTCACCACAATAAACCTCACGCACTTGAACCTATCACGAAATGCCATCAGTCCTGGCCCGAAGGATCGCCGATTGAAGGAATAACTCAATTCATCGGAAAACTGAGTGTCAGGCTCCAGCGGTTGCCCCTCGACGTGCCCCTGATGGCGTTCTCACTAGTTTGAGACCCAAATCGTCCTTCAAAGCGACTTTTTTCGACTTTTTTGGGACGAGGTCGTGTGTGGCTCGCGCGGATGGGTTATTGAGTCTTGTCAGCCTGCAACTACACCCGGTATTCTTGCTACTTCACCTAAGTCGATTGGGCGGGGCAGGGTACGGTTTATGCTACCCGAGTCTGCTTCACTATAAATCACTTCATGTGCTTATTTATCCCTCCTGGTCTTGTCACAGCCACCCTACGTATATCCCAATTATGGCTGCAAAATTCCCTGCTGAGCTAGTGACACTGAATGACAATGTAAACCATTGAGTCGACCTAACGTCGGAGGAGTTGCGTTCGAACCCTAATTGGATGCCGTGCTATTCTTCCTCACTGCAACCAAATTCACGCAAAATTTACCACTATCCCCTTCGACAGTAAATCCCCCCGTCGTACTGTGGTTCCCATTCAGAGCAGCTAATACTTGATTAAAGCGATCCCAAAAGACCAGTGCCCACCAAAACAGGCCTTTTTAAAGCATCCAAAAAGATGAGCTGTAGGGTGTACACGCAGATAATAGCGGAAGCTGGCCTAGTTAGCGTGGACATGACTCTCCTTCAAGTCCTCCCCCTGATTCTCCAATATGTGTGCAGCGCCAGACACTGTCGACGATCTGTCGACGTAGAAGGGAGGCAGGCCTGGTCATGCTTCAACCGTGTGTTGTTCGGACAGTAAACTTGAAGCTGCAGTGAAGTCCAGTGGTCTTATTCAATTTTATGACTTAGACATTTGTGAAGCGGGACCTACCTTTTCCCGAAATTCGTACAGATCGTCATGTTCGCAGCTGGTATTTGACAGAGTTTGTAACGGTCGCCCGGGCTTTTCCACAGTCCACTAGGTAGAGGCGAGAGAAACAATTTTAGAAATCTGTCAATCAACTTGTTACCAAGGCGTGCGCTGTCAGCTGACTCAATTGTATGTGTACTGAGTCACCGCGGGTAGGTTTTAGCTAAAACAAATGTGCTCCACTATTCCATCCTACTCTAAATTTTAGTTGATATGTTCCTCTGATTTATGTATTCGTCCTTTTATCCTGCAGTTGACATACTCCAAATTTCACTGCCTGACTCGGCCTAAAGACTGATGCCTCGGATAAAAACGACCTCGCTGACTTTCAAGGGGAGAAACCGTCGTGGCCGGCGTGCATATCAGTTCCGAAAGTGTGATGTTCATTGCATATTTCTCGGTCCTTTTGGTTGAAACAAGTGCTTAAATTCTATTCTCTGATATTGGCTGCCTAACAAACTGCAGTTAAATGCAGCTTTGTATTTTTAAGGGAGTTGCCTTCACGACACGATCTTTTTAAGTGCGCAGTTCTTGCATTGTGGTACAGTCAGCAACATCGCCGCTCCGATTACCGTTTAAATCTAAATAGACCAGCTAGTTGCGCTCCAAAATTGAGCGGTATTAAGAAATGCGATGTTTAACCTTGTCAGTTAATTATATTTTAAAGCCAGGTCTCATATTCGACGAGAACAAATTCTCCGCATTCCACCCTGCAGTCGAGGTTAGTGAGCAACGTTTTGGAAGGGGCCTATTTCTTATCGGAACTAAAGTTTTTTTCCCAAAATAAAGGGAAGGCATTTTGCCCAAAAAGAAGGCACTCGTCTATAGTGTAAAACCCAGCCACGGTTGCTTGAATATGGTGGAAAACCTTCATTTTGACGAAAACAGAGAAAAATTCCTCTCTATAGTAGTATAGAGTAGACGAGAGCGACCTAACTGATAAGAGACGGAATAGTCAAATTTCTGGTTGTTAACCCTTCTATTTAAGCTCAAATTTTAAAACGTCCCCAATAACTGCGATCAACATCGTCCAAAGAAGTGGACAGATCCTGTAATTTCAGCGGTGGGCAAAGCGGTTGAGTCAGTATCGGAGAAAGCTCGTTTAGCGGCATTCCTTTTCGGGACAGTTTCTCGCATTTGAACATCCGTTATACGGTCCTTCTAGCAGTTTGCCAACTGATGGCATACGTAGATCCTCGAAGAGGTATTTTGGAGTGAATGCGAGTCAGACTACAATGGTTCCCTCTCAATATGTACTTTGTAGTGCGCGCACGCATGTAAGTTCCGAGCCGTCCTTGCGGTGGGGAGCAGGTCGTGTGTGGTATGTGCGCGTGAGATGCTTAACTCTAACCGGCACTACGTGCCCGCCCCGTCCCCCCCCTCCGGTCCCCTTGACATTGTCTTGCTCAAGGAGCAGGGTAGGGAGGGGGAAGGTGCGAGAGCGTGTAGCAGCCTTTTCTCTGTCCCCTCGTTCTACTGTATACGCGCCACGGCCGTGCTCGCTAACCCTCGATCTGCAATCCCGTCCACACCGCACTCCTGGTCGATACTTTGCCACTACTCTCGCGTGCTCTCGAAGCCAATCAATGCGATCTCTTTCGCGGATTGGTTACAAGGGCACACACGGGACGGCGCCCTTGCGGACGTGATTTTTAACAGACAGGTCAGAGGCAAAAAGGACACAACACCCTTTTTGGCGATAGCGACACACAGAAGGCACCGCAACTGACGCTCTCAAGAGCGAACGTTAATCTCTGTCACAAGCATACAGCCAACTTACGGCGACCTGCCCTGCGTACAGAATAAACCTGTTCTCACAACTTCCTGACTTCTGTTACTAGTCGGAGCAAAATTATTGTATGCAGTTTAAGTTGATCTCACGTCCTTGACCACTACAAGCGGCAGGTGCTTCGCAAGTCAACCCTACTCGGCCGGCATCGTCGTTTACGACGGCATACGGTCCTCTGGAAGATGCTAGATGCGACAGCAGAGGAGGGAAAGGACTCGCAGGAAATGGGACACCAACGTTTGAAACGGAATCCTGCTTGCCCGACATGACGTCTCCTCGAAGAAGGGGGTAACCTAGCTGAAAGTGCACAGGGATTGAAGCATGTGCGTTCCCAAACGTCGTTCACCAAGCCATCACGAAGTAACTTCGTACGACTTGGCCAGCAATCTTCACGTAATTCATCGCCGGTGGCGGTTATTCGGAAAGGATTTGTCTGCAAAACTGCTCCTCCGATTTCGAATATTTGCGAAGAATTCTCAGCGATCGTCAGGCCACAAAATTTAGGGGAACTCGGTAGGTTTAAAACCACATCCCTATCTGCTTCTCTCCGTGATAATGACTTCAGATGTGGACCCGATACGTCACTATCTACGGCTCGAAACGTCTTCGCGTCGGCTGAAACTCTTACCAAGGCATTTTATGCAGATCTAGAGGGGATTATTGGGGTGAGGAAATGGCAATCTAGAGGGTGCTCAACGACATTATGCCAAGTTTTCTAGTTCCAGAGCTTCTACCGGTAGAATAATGTTCATTATGCAGTGGCATTAAATTTTGACAGAATTCTGCAGTTTGAACAGCGCCTAGACTGTGTTGCCTTATTATTCACGACTTTGGAAAGAACATCTTAGCATATCGAGCAAAGTAACCGACCTCTGTCGGTGCCAGAGGCACGAACGATTTCGATGGGGTTGCTGTCGGCAGTAGAGATAGTGTAGATGCGGTCAGTGGGAAGTCCTTGACGCCTGTCCGTCGCACTTCTTGGTACGTTCCCGTGTCGTTACTCTGCCAAAAGACAAAAATAAAAAAACAACGTTCCTCATCAAAGTGGCGGTTGCAAGAGGGAGTGGGGGACAGTAGAATTACAACGATGCCAATGAGGCTGAAACATCCCGGTGAGCAGAGCAGACCCGTTTTGAGACTGAAATCTGGACCTTCTCCCTCACTTGCATGCATGATAACTGAACGTTGAAAAGTCGTGCAGTCCCGATGCGGGCGTCCGACTAATCAAGTTAAATTTTAGTGTTTGTATGAGAACAGTTGGGAGGATAGAAAGGCTGCAAGGGGTTTACTGACTATGCTCGCTTAATTTTGTGCATATATTCATGTTAAAAAAACCAAGGCGTGTTGTTGGCGTGACTCTGGACTGAGCCCCAGGGCACAGCGGGCCGAGTACGCCCCTTTGGCAGTGAGTCAGTTATCGTTGGAGCAAGTTGACAGCCAGACAGGCGACACGCGTCCGAGAGATTTGATTGAGGGCACGTTCGCTTTGATTGGCCGATTGGGATGCCTGTGATTGGCCGGAGACCATGCAGTTTCTAGCAGCGTCGGTGATTGGCCAGACACGATGACGACATTATGTCGAACTTCTCAAGGCCAAACGACCACTGGCTGCTGCAAGCACGCACCAGACGTAGAGGCCGTTGTAACAGACGCCCGGGGAAGGGTCACTCTACAAATTCCGAGAGTTCTTTAAACAGCACCGTTAGGCACGGTGGTCTGTCTGAACAGTAGGACCTGCACGTGGAGGTTGTGCTTGACAAATAGCCAAGATGCTTCCGGCCTGGGGTATGGTAGTCAGATGACGAAAAATAAGCCGGTATACTCCGTCTTTTTGCAGTATTCCCTCAAAGGGATGTGCAATCTTCGCATTCAGGAGGCTAAGGAACACTAGAGAGATAAAAACGTTGAGTGACAATTTCCAAGATTGCTAGTGCACCCCAAAACTCGACGCCTCACATTTACCCGCTTCAGGAAACCACCAGGCCACAGAACAGTCCCGACCTCCCCGCCCACGTACTTGTCGGCCAACCAGCGCGCTCCTGACTGTGCGCGAACTTCCGGCAGGGCGTCTGCGCACGCTCTTTTCCTCAGAGACCGACCAGTGGGGGCGCACTGGCTTGCCAACGCCGTTATGTCAATGTAAGAGGCTTTGGGCAGTGGGGTTGCCAAACCGACTCGCCCACAAGACGTACTGTGCTAATGTCGTCCCCTTCCCGTCATTCTCCGTGTACATGCAATGTCTGGATTGGCCTCATTCAACATTATCACACCCATTGATAGAACTCTGACGACGGTTTGGGCTAGAAGCAGTCAAATCTAGCCGCGGGTGATTAAACCCTTCCACCTGCTAACTCCGCCAGCATACGGTGAGGGTTAGGATACACCTCCTTAGAGGTCTTCGTAACATAAACAAACACCGCCGCAAGATGACTACTTACTGCAGCCTGATCAATGTGGTCACCACGGCACACGAGCGATAACCTGCCCCTTCAAGGACGCGCACACACACAAGAAACCGGGGCGTGCAGATGACCTTGACACTCAGCCTAGTACGAGTCACTACTGTTATTGCAAATATTTGGTATCCACACTCTTCGCACCCGTGTCCCTCACGGCACCTCGACAACGGTAACGACCTGAATCCTCGCGCTCCCGAAAAAAATCAAATCACGCACCGGTTGAATAGAGCAATCCGATTGGTTGGATGACTCCGCTCGCGCTATGAGGAGACGTGCAACTATCTATTTAAGTTAATTAGAATCGTGCGCTACTCCGACTGCCGATATAGGCAAAAGGCGAGTTCTACGAAGCAGTACTTATTGAGTACCTCGTCTACAGCCATGAGTGACCATGCGCTAGCTCGTAAACCACCGTAGAACTTAAGAAGTATTGGTGCTGAAAGTTTTCAGCTTGACTAAGCAGACCGGACGTGAAATAGCAATGACTCCCTCATGATGGGGTTTTGTTGTATTTGAAAGGCTTGCCCACCTCGGCGACCGAAATTCCATGGCATCTCGTGACTGTGTGTGTCGGCCCCCATAATGAACTGTACTGCTGATGCACTGGGGTAAAACGGGATCCGGCTGGCTCGCGGCACGCGTTTATCAGGCTGCGTTGAGTCTACGCTAGCCCATAACCACTGTGGTCTATGGCAGGTATGGTGGCATGCCTAGACGTAGACCCTCACACCGCCTCCGCCACTGGGCTCAATCCCATCACCAGCTGGTCTATAGGCTTAAACAGGAGAGAGTAAGGCCATCACTGAGGAATCTTCCCAAACCACAGGTAATCGCATTCCTCACAATACTGAACATAAATGACTCGAATCAATCGCTGCACGATGAGAGTCACGACTTAGAAGTATTTCAACTGACGGGAAAATTCAGTCTTTTTTAGGACTGAGAGCCCGGCCGCAGTCCTTATTAACAATCTCACACATGTGAGATCTGAACCGTCATCGTGAAAATTCAATGCATACTGCGAGGACCAGATCGTATGTTGCCCGCGTGACGGGTTATTTAGACCTTTCCGCCGCTGCACCCAAGTCCGCCTGCAATCGTTCTGGCATGGTCTAGCCATCAGATCAAAGTGGGTGGAGGAGGAGAGAGTGTGGTAGGTGCTGCGCAAGTCTGCCTCACTGCAAAAAAGTCACGCGCAAGTCGCCTGTGCTGCGTGCACTGCGTGGAGCAAGCTGTCGTCGTCTGCCTGGGGTCCGTGAGGGAAATAATGCTAGCAAGCATTGAAGCTGACTTGATAGTTCGAGAAGGCCGTTGCCAACTCCGAAGAGTAGGCGCAGGATCATGACCTATTAGAAGGAGTCTGATAGCGGGGCAGGTTCGAGTCCCAAATGCTCCAAGCTTGGAATGGTGTATGGCTGGCCGATAACGACTAATAAGCCAGTAAGGATCACCCCACTTTCCTATATCTTCGTCCACGATCTCCCCTGTGTATAGCATCAGTCGCTGTGCGAGTGTCTCCGGGACTATAAATCGAATCCCAAAGCAGAACGGTACGATCATGCCCATTGAGCCGATCGGTGGACACGATTCTATCATAGTTAATAGTCCAGATCGCAACAGGCAGAACAGCGGGTCTGTGGTTCAGTAGTGGAGGTTTCGACTCAAGGACCAAGCGTCCCGAGTTCGAATCCCAGATGATCCAAAACCTGGGAGTTGGACATGGCTGGCTGATGACGTCTGATAAGCCAAAAACGGACGTTCCGGCCCTTCTTTTAGTTTTTCGTAATTTCCATCTGCGTAAGCTGCAGGCAAAGCAACGTAGATAAAATACACCGGCTTGATCATCTTGCAATGGCAATCTAAGGAAGGTAGCTTGTACGTCCATGTGTTATGAGCTTTTATGAACGCCGCCCCTTTCTAGTCCTGCTCTGCAAAGTCACCGGTGCCGAATGGAAAAGGTGACTTTGATGTTTGGAGAGCAAGTCATGCGTGTCGTCTAGTCGTAATCCACTTACCTGGATAGAGAAGCAGCGACCTTTGCTGTCAACCTCGTTGAAACGCGTGACAGCCCTGCGCTGTTGTCGTCGTTATGACTAAGTTCGGACTCATGCTCTCATACCTGTCTCAGACGCTTGCGTCATAGCGATTGTCAAATTACTTCAGTGGTCACATACTTCGAGGATGATGATGCAGCTAAGTAGTGAGCTGAAAATCGAAACACTGCAATCACGAAAGTAACTAGGCGTGAAAACGTCCCCTCCTCAAACACCATGACGGTTTTTCCTGCTGCAGTTGCACAGCATAGTTTCCCCACTTGGCGTAAATTCGTTTCCGAGAAATAAAAAGTGCCTTTCTCTGACTTCTTCGCGGGTTGATGGTTTCACTTTGTAACGGAAGCTCCTCGAGTGAACTGACCAATTTGCTCCGCATGGCTAGGAGGGTATGTATGCGAAACTGAGGCGAGATCTTTGACTTAAACAGTTGGGGTAGCAGAGTCAATTGGCGAATCTTCTCAAACATCCAGTCTTGGAAGGTGGATAGTTCCGCCGACTAAGGAGTCAGGTATTATCATGTAAATGTTCGTTTCACCGGCACTTTCTAGGAATATGGCTTGTCTTCATCATTGCTGAATGTCGATGAGAATGACATTGGGGAAAATCGTGTTTCTTCATCCGTCTTCGTTGTATCGAGGACTTCTATTAGTTTGGAAAGTTTGCCGATAGAAGCAAACAGGCGGCTTCCAGTAAACAGTTCAGAGGAGGAAGATTTGATTATTGGAAAAGGAAGTTTATTGGCCACACAGAAATTCTAGCAAGAGGTGCTGGTCGCGTGAGTCGCGAGCTGCTTGAATCATGGTTCTCCGGCTGGCAGTCAATCAGTAAGCGCAATGCCACCTCGGTCCCATATTCTGCACTGAGACTTTGGCTGGACAAAACAGTTAGCCCCACGGCGACAACGAGCCAAATGGCCGAGGAATCAAAAACGAAGATGAAATCACGGTTATCAACGCCCCGGTTGCGGACTGACAAGCGATTATCGCATGAACGTGTGTGCTACTTCTAGTAGACACGCAGTTGTATGGCAACTGCTTCTTATAAATACCGCAACCCCTGTGCCACCATTACCCTTATCTGCGACTGTCACTGATGCTGGGCTCGACCGAGAATCTGAAAAGTCAGGCCAAAAAGCTTCTTGTTTCAGAAGTTACATCTGCTTCTTCTTTCGAGCCAGAACAATGTTTACAGCAGACAGAGTGTTGTCGAAATCCTATAGCGAGGTCATTTTTCCGTTAGATGTCGACCCATCGAAATTGGCCCTGAGTACCAGCGCTAAGCTATTAGAACCGAGCCTGGCATCATTGCCCGTTAAACACTGTGCCCTCCCACCTATCCCGCGAGTAAGCTGCTTTGCCTACATGTGCCTCTGGCCCGGTTCCCGTAGGCTGCACTAAAAGACTTCCGATTGTTGAAACCTCTCACGGAACTAGTTTTCTCACATACCATCCGTAAAACTCTTAATTTTCTGGACATCATAGGTGTAATATTAACTATTTTCGTGGAAAGATCTTGACTGTCAAATGGTCATTATTCCAGTGAGGCTGATGAATGTCAACTGAAATATTCAGGCCAACTTTCAGAAGGAACCACAGAGGGTTAGCCACGAAGTATTTACTCCACATGCATACATTTACTTTTGAGGGGAATATCAAGCTTAACGTGAAAAGCGGGGATTTATTGTGGCTAGGCATCGGACTCAAATTCCAGAAGCCAGTGTTTTGAGTATATGTCGTAGGAGAGCCTCGGCCGTCTTTGTGAGTCTTTTTCCCATTGTTTGACCTAGCAACTGTTCCATTAAAATATGGACGCTAGCATCAGCTCCAAAATAGTTTGATGGAAGATGACTGATTGGTGATTTTAGTCACTACGAATCGAATATGAACTTCCAAAAACAATTTGATAAGAAGTTAATGTCTAGAAAACACGGGTGACTGCGATAGTTTTAGCTTAATCTTGACTATTTTCGGTTGAACTGTGAAGCCTTTGACTGCCACGATTTCTGATTTTGATTTTGAAATTTCTTCCACATTTCAAGCTTCCCAGGGGAACGACCTCCTGGCACCTCAAACATTTGATGCGTTTTGCTAATGCGTAAAGTGGGTATTAAACAAAAATGCGAAATTTGGTAATTTTCAGGTTCGTTTGAAAAAATTCCTCATCCACATATGGCAGATTTTTCTATTTATCATGTCTCTGCCAAATGTATCACTCCTTCGTCGTGACTACGTACTGAGAGGCATGGAACCTTCACCCCAACTTGCACGCCTATGATTGGTTCGATCACGAATTCCTCGCACGCCCACAGACAAATCGATACGTAATTATGACAAACGCACCTCGGAAGAATGGATGCCACTCCATCCAAACGATGAACTGTTCTTGTGGATGCTAACAGATATATTAAATTTAATCTCGGAAGTGCATTTACACCCAAATGTATGTGCAATCGCAAAGTTTCTATGTGATCCCTAAAATATCAGAAAATGTTGAAAAACCAGCTCAGTTGTGTTGGTTGCGTTTGGAAAATTCATGAATTTCGTTGCTACCTCCCTGTCTTTTAGCTGTTCATTCAATCATCTGACGAATGTGATTTAATTATTTTATTGACCAGTAAGAGAACAGGAAATAGACTTGTTGACCACTCAGTAGGTCGTTCTAATTTTAACTTTGAGAAACATCGTTGTAGTACCACACGCAGTCTGATGCGGCATTATCATAACAGACCATCAACCACTATCTCAAACACCAGAATAGTTGAAAAGTATTCAGTGACTCTACTAAATTAGGAGAATTGTTCTCAGGCAAACAGTATTCACTGGCTTGTGAAGAAGTGCACCTGATGATTGGTTACGCCTAGTCTGCTCTCGGAAATATAAATCAAAGATCAATAAATGCCGTATCAGTGTTCCCACATAAATCTTGCTCAAAAGCTCTCTGCAGGGGCTTATTTATCCTACCAGCACTTTGGAAATCTGGGCCGAAGACCTTTTTGCATCGTTATAAATGTCTGCCATCTTAATGCATTGTAAATAATCTCACATAATTCGCTTTTTGGGGCGTCTCGTTAGCATGTCATTGAACGCGAAAATAGGCGGTTTTATTCTTTATCTTGACAAAAATGGGCAATACAAACAAACTGCCTCTGTTAGAAGACTGCAAAAACAGAGTAAATAGAAACCTAGAAATCACCAGTATCGCATAAAGGGCTTTGTAAACTTTGATGAGTCAAAACTTCGGGCATTTATGCATCTGAGACAAACTACTCCTGCGTATAAAAATACAGCTGGACGTTGAATTTTATTAAGGCTACTGCTTTCCGAAGAAAATATTGAAAGTTCTAGACGTCTAACACCGCGACCGTTACGAATTGCATTTTTGATCTTTCCAAGGCATCCTGGTTACTCATTGCTTGTTTGTTCGTCTTATCTACTTACTTTTACTAATTTTGCCATCCTACAACGAAGTGTTTTCACCGACTGAATAAAAAGGTGAGGAACCATAACATCTTGACCACGGGAACTCACAGAACTTATATTTACATTTAATTACGTTGCGGCAATACTAAGCTGCAAATCTACACCATGCGGAAAATGGCAAGCGTGTGAGACGGTAGCAAAAATTGCTTGTTAAAAGCCGAAATGTTAGTGTTCAACCATAAATACGAGGCGATGAGTCTTATCTATAAGTATTAAGACATCAAACATATTTATCATCGTCTGCATAAAACGACGGATGCGTGTATCCGCGTCCATCCGCCTGTACTCATTTTTACGAATTTGGTAAAGTGGATTGCAGGAAAGTAGAGTTTTTACATAATGGCGGTAACATTACCAATAAAGACAGGGGAGACTGCAGTGGCCATTTCTGGCTTTTAAGCCTTCGTCAGCCAATCATACCCAACTCCGAGGTGTGAAACACTTGGGGCTCGACCCTGGGACCTATTGGTTAGAAGTCCAATGCCAGTAACCATTGAGTAGCAAGCTCGTTGTCCTGTCGGTTACGATCGGGTATACACAATGGTAGAGGGGTCCACTAACCGATCGTGTCATTGAACGCACTCCTCTTGTTGCGCTTTGGGGCTCTCTCTCTCAAGCCTAATTAGTAACCGCACTCAGCGCGTAATAAAAGCGGAGTGGCGAAATGATTAGGGACGTTGGACTTCTAACTAACAGGTCGCGGGATCGATCCTCGGGTATTCCACATCTCCTCATTGGGTATGGCTGGCCGACGACGGCTAATAAGCCAGAGATGACAATTTCAGTCTCCCCTTTCTTTGAATGTAATGATATTCTACCTATATTTTATATGTTGTTGCAGGAGGACATTACACGTCAAAATGGCACCAAAATGGGGACACGAAAACTTACCCCGTCGCTGTTGTAAGATCTCACGGTCGAGCGCTCAGATCCCATCCTATTCTTCTGAGCCGCCGACTGTTGGTAAAGAAGGTCGTTCTGTTTTCCAAAGGGAAGCACAAATACAAAATACTAATTAATTCAATGTCTTGGGCAGACTGTGGACATAAGAAGGAGAGTTTTTAACTTTCTCTGCAATACTACGAAGCGTATGCATGATGATAACTGCCCACTTTGACTTACCATTTTAAAATTAGAGAGTAGAAAATAAGACTGATTAGGTCTAAGCTTGAGGAATACAATGCACAACCGTTGCACCAACCCCCTCTCCCAGAAAGCATGATGAAAAGCTAAGACCATGAGGTAACCACTCAGCAACCAACCCTGATCCTCCTGATTTAGAAGTCTAGCCAGTAGGTCATTGACGCATTACTTACAGCCACAACTATAGGATGTCGGCTTCGCGAGGACGATTGATTGGCGTTCGCGCTGAGCGACTCACATTTAGAGCTGTTTTGTTTACAATAGCCGTTAGAACCCAACGCCGGTTTACTACTTGGGATATGTTCAATGTCAAAATAAGGCAAATTTCCCAGCATTCGTCTGCTTCTGCATACTACAAAACTCCGAAACGAGAGTTCGAAATTTCGAAACTCCAAGAGATGCCGGTTAATAAAATTATCATTGGTGGTTAGGAGCTTTCCATATAACACGATATCAATTTTTTCTACCATGATCTTAAAGACTATAGTGAGCAGTGATCTTGATCTCAAAACAATTTACTTCTCCCTCTCTTTAAAGTAAATATGAATGTACCTTGAAATGAAGTGCACATTTAAAAAAATCTACTGCTTTAGGTAAATCTTGGTTCTTTTGTCGAAAATTTTTAAGCAAGCCTCGAACTAGTTTGGAGCCGAATTTATGACATTCTCTGCCCTTTGGGGCCTAATTCAACATAGATCATTGTGATCGGAACGCAGGAAGTCAGTCAGAGTTTCGAGTTTGGAGATAGTTTTCTGGAGGAGGTGATGGTTAAGTAGAAATTTGTGAAGTATTTGTTGGCTCCTGAGTGAGCTGTATGTCAAAAAGTAATTAGTAGGGTCTGGCTGACGCCATCCAACTCTCATTATCGGCTGAAAGTTTGTTTCTCAGGAGGGGAGGCAAACCAGACGTCAGAGGTGCTGAGAACGCATGCGGTTACCGGATAATTGCACCAGAAGTAATTCGATTACGACGCCAACGCCAGACTGCTGAGTAATAAATCTGGCAGCGCCAGCGACCAAAACACTGCAATCTGGTCTGCTTTACGGCAATTCAAAATTTCCAAAGTGTTATCTCATTGCACCGATATGCTAGTCATTCAGAGTGCATTTTTAATTCCCATTGCATGGTCCTCCATATTTTGTATTTTGTCGGACGTTTAGATTAGAAGAGGGAGCAGAAATCGCCAGTGACTTTTAAAACCAGCCTTGTTTAATTCCCAAGGAATTTAGTGCGTAAACTTAGAGTAAATCCTCCGGAACTATACTTTATAAGCTCGATTTGAAAGTCTACATATTTATTTATACACTTCATATATTGTGTATTATCATATTACCATATATACGTACATATTATACAAAATGTGTTGTACATAGTGTTATATGGTGATTTCTTCAAAAACTAAACCATTCATATGTATATCAGAAAAACATAGAGAACGCTGGGGCGCCCACTGATGGGCCGAAGCCTTCGCAGCTGCGTAATGCTGCGGCAGAAGTTTGACAAAACACGCATGTGTCGGCTTTTAACTAGTACCTGTGCTGTTAGTATGGTAGACCGTTTAGTGTTTTTAAGACCTGTTGCGAAAATCGGTTATTCTTGACTCCTAGGAGGTGATTGAAGCAAAACTAATCGACTGGATTCAGATCGCTAGCACAAGGCCTGTTCTCCATTCTAAGCAGACACATTTTCAGAAATTCTGATTACTTTATTCTTCCTCGTCCTGAGTTGATAGCAATCGTAGAGTCGAAGAAGTAGGAGATGCTTAACCGCGGTCGACCAAGTTTGGGAAAAGTTATCGAATGCAGTATTTCAGATGCGAACATATTAGTTGCACTGATGTAGAATTATCTGAAGAAATTGACGAAGTTTTGTGTCAGTCTACTCGCTGATAGTTCGACCGTCTTTGCCGACGATGTCAACCATGCGCTGCACAACAAGTTGGCAGCAGGCACGGTGACCTGTGCGTGAATTAGTTTATAATGGGGACAGACTTGCACAACACCTACCTTGCTCTCCCCACCTCCTTCTCCATCAGGACCCAGTGTCAAGACATAGTCAAAAAGACTGGAGACGGGGAAGGGTGCAGGTAGATGGCACGGTCGAACCCGCACCTTCGCGCCTCACTCCACATCCCCCAGTCAGCACAACAAATGACCAGGATTTTGACCAACAGCTATAGGGTGACTGGCGCGGCCGGATCCGCCCCTAGGCGGGCCTCCACAGCTGGCTCGGATCCAACGCAGTGGGAGTGCCATAAAGGCCACACGGAGAAGGAGTCTTGACAGTCTGACTCTTCGACCACCAGTCGGCCGCTCCACACAAACACAACACTGGGCTGTCTGCGAGGTCTGAACGCCATCTACGCCAGCTGATATGAACTGATCAGCTTTCTGCTCGTGTCAGTCAGTCATTTCGCGAGACAAAATTAGCCGCTACCAACCTACGCTTTGTTGCTATACGCTACTCGTAATTAATGCTACCAGATGTGAATTTCATTGCACTCACGGGCGTTCAGTGGTGCTTTGACGACACCCATTTTCAGAATATTCCTGCTTATGTTATGTAAAAATAATGGACGGTGTGTCCGATCGGAAGAGCATCCTGCCTATAATAAGGCGTATTTGGAACTATAACCCATCAAAAGTATTCTAACGCGTGAAGGTTACAGTGTTCAGCAAGGCGTTCTCATGCAGCTGATAATTTGCACTCTGCGTTTCGCAGAATATCGCCGTCACTTAACCTAACTGCAGGCCGTGATGCCCACTAGTAGCAGTGTACTCCGTTGTAATAAGTCTGAAATAACTGCTTTCGGCTACTTTCCTGACACATTCGGCAGAATATTCTTTTCTGGGGCTACATGATGCCATACAAGCAGCACAGATAGTGGCTAAAAGCCCAGACACGCGAGTTTCGTCGATATTCTGCCGCTGCATGGCACAGCTGCGAGGGTTCGGCTCATCAGTGGGTCCCCCAGCATTCCCCGTCTGCTTTCTGGTAGACAGTCCAGTTTTGGAAATTGGTTCGCAGTTACTTTCTGAAGATATTCTTTTTATTGTGGCTGTCGGATGCTGTATAAAGATCTGTTGTTTAGAAGTTGTTCACCCGACTTCTTCCATCAAAAGCTGAATCACTCGATTCGCTTACCCTCACTAGTACCAGGAAACAGAAACCATCGTAGAATGCGGTAAAATATAATCATTCTGTACTGCCGCGGGGACCAGTTATGTGGAATCTAGCTAAAAAAAATTTGCACATCCTTCCTAATCATGCCAAATGAGGCTTAATTAATGTATTTCTGCTATTGGTCATAGGAGCGATCCAGATTTATCTTTGATATAACCCTATGAGACCTCCTTGACCGACTCCCAAGGATGCCTTAATCCTGCAGATGGCGAAGATCGAAAAGTCTGGATTAAAGTTCAACTGCATGATCAAAGCACAAATCAATACACATCCTCGTCGATTGGAGCTTTTTATTCACTCTGCCTTGTGACCGTGGATGGGCTTATTGAGTTCCATTCCCGAATCAATATTCATGTCCATCATTTTGCGGTTGAACAGAAGGCATATTCGGAACCCCTAAGCAAACTTACATTGGGTGACCTAACAGATGAAAAGTGTCGAAATTTGAGAACGACTGTTTAACCTTCGCAAACCGACATCAGTGCGTGAACCCAGTATCTATGTTAATAAATAACAACTTTAAGGGAATTAAAACATAAGAGAAATGTTAAAAGTAATGTTGCTTTTTTTAGAAATGCCAACTCTTTGGAAGAGCGAAAAATTCCGTTTAAGGAATAATCGCCGTTTTTTGAATATATAAAGGTATAAAATATTTTATTGCCAAAATAGCTTAGTGTAGGATTCAGATTTAATTATCTAACTTTAGAGTAAAAATCATTGAATCCATAAAGCATGTATCTGAGTTGGTCTGCACGTAAAGTTGCCAAGTTCAATTTCCCACTTTCTCAACAATGCAAACTTTTTAATCACAAACTAATACTATCTACTAAAAAACAAAATGAGGGACTCACATTGAAAATATTCCCTGAATCACCTTTGCGCTGGCCAGGTGGATTTTTGCATTTCTGGAATTCCTTTACCTGCAAAGCAGAAAACAATGACGTCCTTTAGACCACATTTGTTACGCTTCGAAAATAATGAGTTGAACAAACGCTCCGAAAAGTCAACAACACAGGAATTCTGTTGCGCAGCTCCTTCTCTTCCTTGAACTACTTTTAAGCTATGACTTGGCTCGAATTTCTTGATATTTAAGAGAATAATTGTGATAAGAATAATTGCGCGATCCGAATAAACTATTCTGTAAACTGATAAGTTACGTCACTTGATAATTATTGTTTTAAACTGAGCGCCATTTCCAAAATTAATGCGAGTACATTCGGGGTGAAAAATAGGCCGGACATTAGCTTAAGAGCTAATGGAGGTACAGTATCTAAAAGAATGGATACATACGACAGTTTGACCGTGGATTCCGACGATGTCTACCGTCTGTTACACAGCTAGGTGTAACAGGCACGGTGACTTGCACGTGAATTAGTTTATAGTGATAGCAGACTTGCGAAGCATCTACCGCGCCTTCACTTTCCCCCTTCCAACCTGGACTCGGTGTCAAGACGGAGTCAATAAGACCGGAGGCGAAGGAGGGCACAGGTGTCTGGCGCGGCCGGACCCGCACCTAGGCGTGCCACCACACCCCCTGGTCCACAACATACACTTGACGAGGGTTTCGACCAACAACAACACAAAAGACGTGGATGACTGGGCAGCCATGCCCGCCACCTGCATATCCAGCGGGAGCGCAAGCGTATCTACCGACAGGGAACCAGGTGTCGGGGAACTGCCAGCGCATACCAGGCTGCAAAGGCCATGGTTTGCCGATACTAGCATAGCACACGCTTTAGACCTTTTTACGAATGGATACTTACAAACTAGAAAACGAACACACGCGGCAATCTGTTACGTTTCTTTGAGGCATAGTCGATTTTCAAAAGTAACGTGGATTTATAGGTAGGCAGCTCAAGGACCTAGCAGTCTAAAACGTGTGGACCTTAGTCGGTGATATCACGACAACGAGGACTTTTCTTAGGAATGTGGTCATGTTTTGGTAAATTACCCGCGTATTTAAGTTTTTATTCCCTGAGCCTAACTGCGGCAGTTTTTCTCAAGTGTGCGCTACCAAGTCGGCCCAGAGGTAGTTCTAGGACTTTCAGAAAGTGAGGAATAGATGTAATTTTCTAGTTTGCCAACACTGAGAAATAAAAAGAGAAATTTAGGAACGCAAGGAATGGGGAGGCCGGTAGATCCCACCCTTATTTTGTGTTCATTTCTCTTGTGAGCGAAGACTACTCTCTTTACGAGGCTATGAACCCCCTCATCGACCACCCCTCCCCCCATTTCTGATGTTTCCAAATTTCTTTGTATTTTTCTTGTTGCTGATAAAATTAGAAAATTTATGTCTTGTGGATATGTGTTTTGTAGCATTGCCGACTAAATGTCAAAAAATAAGGCTCCACTGATATACATTGCCTTCAAATACTGCGCAACTTCGTAGTAAGACTTAAATGACATATTTGTATCATGACTTTAAGCCTGACCAAAGCCTGATGAATTCCTTAAAAGGTGTAAAAATTGGAAACTATAAATATGAGTAGGCCTACGACCCTGCATCAACGTGGAGGTTGAAATATTATTCATTGTATCACGAAGTTTTCTTGGCTGTAGCCAGAGGACGTTACTAATCTGCAAAGAAGACCTTGGTCGAATACTTGTAAAATATTTTTTGTTTAATGAAATATGTGTAACTTGATTTCTCTTTATCGGCGCAACCCTTAAGCAGTAGAAACGAGGACTCAGCTGCCAAGTTACTTGCCACGTTAACTGCGCAGTTTATTAATTTTGTTTTTCCAGTGTACCTACCAAGAACTTAATTAAATTTTAATCGGAGATTCCTTTCGACAAGCGTGGATTTGTGCAGAATCAAAAACCCTGAGTTGACTTTCGACCGCAAGATAGAGGTGGAGCAAAGTTGATTTGCAGAACGTAAGATTAACATGACTAATACAAACGCTGATGATTGCCGATGCTTCAAAAGCTTGCGAATAAGTTGGTCTGCGTCAATGTAGCTTGTCATCTTGAGTTTACGCGAGCATCCCAAAGCAACCAGCATCCAAATTTCAAGTCAATCCTACGTGATTTGCTGTATGTCGCCATCGCTCGAAAATATCCCGTAGCCATAAGCAACTTAGAGAGCGTTATATTTCGGACGACATAATTATGCTGCCCTCCAGCCAGGAGAGGTCTTTTGCAAATCTGAAACGATTTTTTTTTGGCGGATAATGGTCTCAATGGATTATTGGCAATACTATGGGAGATTGGCTTTGCCATTTCCGGATAACTAGCTGTCATCAGCCAGGCTTGCCCAATCATAGATCTGGATGACTTGAGATTCGAAAGCGGAACCTTCGGTCCCTGAGAGCTATTAAGTCCAGGGGCCCGTTGTCCGGTCGGTTGCCATCGGAAATATTAACTATATCGGAAGTGCAGGATTACGGGATCCCAATCTAGAAACCCCAGCAAACGATGGCAAAGAGACCAGTACTACATGCAGATACGATCTGTGAACGTCCTCCTACCATAGTTAATATTCCTGAGCCCAACTGATAGGACAACGGGTCCGTAATTCGATGGGAAATCCATTCCAGCCACTGTTAAATTTGTCAACACTCCTTCCTACTCATATAACCTGTTGCTATGCGACTTCCTGCGGAAGGCCTATATTGAGTCCTGAGGCCCGGCGGGACGATCATGTCCAGTAACTCGATCGGTAAACGCATTTACACCACAGCTAACGGCCCAATCAGACTGCGAGTCAACTGACGAAGGAAACCCTGTTTCCATCACCAACTTGAATCATCGATGCATCTCGGTCACCAGTGAATTCAAGTGATGCTAGCTCATAGCTTAACTGCACCCATCTGTGATGAGGACTGACGGCGAGTCTCCAGGGTCCACGATTTGCTCCACTTGGTTCTCGCAAATAAGTTTCATTACTTCGTAATACGAGCAATCTAACACCTTAAAAGCTTGTTGTCCGGCACGCCCTATGCAACCGTTAACAACGCAGGTGTGAATTCGACTACGGCACATCATAGAAGAAATTGTAAAGCTCATTTAAGTAATATATCACGTACGTTGCTGAAGAATAATGAAGCATCATCACGGGAGCTGACTGAACTCCCCGGTCGTAAGGCTGTGTCCTGCAGCGCGTTCGCTGGCTAAAAATAAGGAGATTTACCGTTTTAATTCCAGATTCTTGCACAGGTAAATGTCACAGAGTGCAGTTTTTTAGCAGATTTCTAGCCTTAAAACAGACACTTAATTAGAGCACCATAAAATGTCAATAATATGGCCTTTCTATGCGACCATCTCTGATGATGTGTTCGAGTAAGAAACCGAAACGTCAGGCCAATAAACTTCATGTTTGATTGATCGCAACTTCTTCGACTGAATATCCACCAAAGTTTACTAGGAAAACCGAGGCCTGCGTTTGCTTAAATTTGTTGATAAAACACTGAGGGTTGGAGTTTTGTTCACTTGGCTGTGGCCTGCACGCATCTATTCTGATTGTAGGTTACGGACCAGGATGTCTCTAGTTCCCCCTGCCGGTGGTCACCGGGCGATTAGCCATCGGTACTAGAAAAGTGTTTACCGACAAAGACAGGGATGCCGGAATGACCATTTCCGACTTCTGTTTCGCTATGAGCCGGCGATACCCCAATGCCGGCACTACACACACTGGAATTGTGGTGTCTCACTCTCCCACTCCCCTCCCGAAACCCGAGCTATAAATTTGTTATCTACTTGCCCGTATCTTTTAATTCATTACCTCAGTAGCCCTATAAATGCACAGGCCTGGAGAGAATTTATCGAAAGCAGACGTATGCTCACCAAATTGCCTTTTGAACTCTAGTTTTTGTTTTACTGTGTGGAAATGAGTTGATTGTAACGAGGGCCATTCTCCTCTTAGATGACACCATAGATACTCATCGGTCTGAGTGTACGAGCCAGGTGCACGTCAGGTGGGAATTAATTAGGGAATTATTCTTTTGAATACATCAAATAACCGAGCACCCAATAAAGCATGGGGTCGATGCACTTTACCAAAATCTGTTCCTTGTCTACTGACTGCTTTTACAGCAACATGGAAAATGATTGGAAAATACCTGATAAGAACATTTTTGGAAGTTCGCCCTAAACCAATCGACTGCATGGTCCCTTTGCATGGTAGATACGGAATAATAACTCCCTCCAAGATGCAGGTGACGTTACTCTAGATTCCAGGAAGTGTTCCTGCCTCCACGTCCTAAATCTGGCACTTACCCTGACCCTAGCCTTAACCCCAACACTTTTTTCCCTGGAATTTGGCGCAAGGCTACCTGTGTCCTGTGTCTCACTCTCTCTCTCTCCCTCACGTGCGTAGTCCTTTGGTACGGTAGGACTAACCTCAAAAATCCTTTTTAAAATTTTTATTGTCTAACGAATGCTTCCAATAGCTACTGCCCCTGTTCCTTCACAAAGTCAAATGCTTAAGGCTTCGTGTGGAGCTAGCCGACTAAGCACGTTATCACCGACATTATTTTAGCTGCGGTTTAAACAGGTATTTTTAACACAAAACCGCAACTTCCCCGGATTAGACTCCGTACGTTCTGCACCACCAGAAGTAGGATAAATAAAACTTGCATGTACAAAAACAAGCATAGAGAAGTGAATGCATGTATACTTAAAATAACATCTTTACCTTGTTTTTCAAGCTGCTATTGGTCTTTTTCTGAGTTCTTTTTACGGTGCTCTGGCCATTTGAGACGTTTCCGTTAGAGTAAATATTTTTTGCGGAAACCTTTCGCGTCTGAAAGCAGTGTTATGTAACAATATAGTTAAAGAAATGAGAGATTTATGCGGCAATAATGGCTTCCGCTATAAAAAAAGACCAAGATGCAAAGAGCCAAAGTCTAGAAACTGAAAAGTTGGTAGGCATCAAAGGAGCATTGGAGTATTTACCATAAAAGTGTTGACCCTTTTAGGACACCGAGGAACCAACTGAAACGAAGTTACCGGCCGAATGGAGAGATTTAGGTTATAAGATTACGAAGGCCTAAAAGGCTTTTTGAAGTTATTCGATGTCATTGGTCGCGCTGCGCCTCACTAAGTCGTTAAGTCGATAGCTGTCTCCATTGCCTGTTCAGCGATACTTTGATACATTTATTGTTCGCCCCTAAGCGACCCTCTTTACGGGGCTGAAATAAGTTACAAGGCCGAACCCAAAGTTTATATTTTGTCCTATAATTAGACAGGATCAGAGATGCAGTTTATCCAGGACCCTAAGCAGTTAGGAGATATTCTTCACAAGGTCTTCAATGAATTGGTGAGCTTTACTAACGGATCCAGTGCATTTTAGGACCTTCAACGCAAAGTGTTAAGTTAAAACACCGATTTAAGCGCTTTAGTTGAAAAAAGGGACAGCCGATCCCTCGAATACTCTCTGGATCCGCTATGATCTGTGAGTCCTGTCAATGGCCGTATGATGAGCCCTCGCAACTGACATCGAAAACGAGCCTGGTTTTCACTTAAAAAATTTACCGTAAAATCTCATCTTTTGTTCCAGTAAGGCATAGGGGAACTTCGCCATCCGCTTTCTCATGTCAGTTGTTTTAATGGAACTAGCGGACCTTCTGCGAAAATCTACCTTTTGCGCTTTGCAAATGTAATTCACAGACAAAAAATCTTCTCTCTGTGCTAGCACAAGTAGAGCGAACAATTTAATCCGCACAAAAACAGTCACAAAACCTAACGTCTGCAACTTTACCACCCACAGCATGTGGCTTAACCTACCACACTCTATTACTGAAATCCGGATAGTTAATAGGGAGCACGTGAGATGTCCTTATTTTTTATAATACTTAGTAAGTCATTTTCCGAGGCGGAATATGTTTCGAAACCATTTTATAAGTAATGGTAGCATAGTTTGGTCAAAATTAACGCCGTATCATAAAAATAGTTTCCTAGAATGCTAATTGTTACAGCTCACAGCCACTTGTTTTTTGGGGCATTTCGCTCCGATAAGGCTTGTCTGCAAGCGAAAAGCGTTTAGTCGAGATGCCTTCTGTTACTGAAAAATTTGAGTTATCGTCCGAAAAAGTCAGGTAAGTGTAGCCATGAAAATCACACCTTTTTCAAACATCTTTTATCAGAATAGTATTCTAGTTTGCAAATCCACGAGGCACTGTGCCATCAGTTGCTGTAATAGCGTTACTAGACAATGGGTTGTTTTGGTGGCCGGTTACCACTTTTCACTTTTACATTCTTCGATGAGATTATGCTCAGATTTCGAGAGATCACAGAACGTAGCAGCAAAAGAGCTGACGCAGTAGTGGCTGAAGATCCTAGGTTCGGATCTCTGGTCATTTGGATCTGGGATAGAATCATTTCTACAAATAAGCAAACTGAATGCAAACCGTCCGCAACCGACCACTGTGAAGATTTGTCCATGCGTTCTCCGGGCTTAATTGGGGGACGGATGAGGGAATGTAGCCTTCATGCGCGCAATGCCATGATGAAGTTAGCATGAAGGAGAACTTTGCTAAAGTGTATGGAGATTTCTGTGCACTATTCTGCAAAACGTTTTACCTCCGTGATAAAACCTTTCCTCAAAATAGGCCTACGAAGTGGACAGGGGAATTGACGTGTCGGTAGAGCAACGCATGAGACTACCCCGAAAACAGCCAGCACTTGATGGTGTGAATGGTCATCAAATTCGGATCGCGACCGAACTGGAGAACAGCAAAGGGCATTATAGACAGCAGAGCGTTCAGAAGACGAAGATGCGATCACTGGAACAAGAAATTTATTGACCTGGCGTTTCGGATTCTCAATCGAACCCATCATCAGAGACAGTCGCAGATAAGGGTAGAGGAGACACAAAGACTGCAGTATTTATAGCACGTGGCTGCTGCGGGGCCATATGCGTACTGTGATTACCAGCTCTCGCAATCAACGCTGGGGTCAAAAGTAAGACAATGATGGCCCGTCAGCCCACTTCCGAGTCGTTAATTGCAGGGATTTCATCATCCGTGTTTGATGCTTGGGTGAAGATTGCTCGGCAAATTGGCTCACTGTCATTCGGATAATTACTCGCCCGCGCCCTCCCGACGTGACTGATCCCTCTTCCCAGGGAAAATCTCAGCACGGAATACGGTAAAAGGAGGTCATTGCGCTTGTTGATGGATTGCGGGTCTGAGAACCACGACTTGAGTAGCTCGGAGCTCACGCGGTTGTCAACCCTTGCGAGGATGCCGGCCCCTTGAAACTTGAAAATATGGCCGGGTCCCGTCGAATGAGCCGCCACCTGAGATCTAGTGTCTCCCCTCCTCACTGCTGCTGCGTGCTCGGCAATTCGCGTACGGAGTTATCTCCCAGTTTCTCCGACATAGTCGCTTTGTCCGCAACTACACCAGATCCGGTAAACGACTCCTGACGTTTCCTACCGCGGCAGCAGGTCTTTCGGCCTCATGAACTGGTGCTTGGTGGTTGCTTCCCAACTGTGTGCAACCCCAACTCCAAGTGGAGTGAGAAGACGATTGATAGCTTCCGAGACGTTCTTCACGTAAGGAAGAGCCCGCCAAAATTTGGAGCCGATTGGATTTGGTCTCTGGTGTCGTTTTCGTATGTACTGGTTGACAAAGTTGCGCGGGTAGCCATTGGCTGTCAGTACCCGTCGAAGCTGTTGCAATTCAGCAACCTCGTCTTCCATTTCACTGCAGTGTGTCTCAAGGCGCCCTTACGCAACTGCGTTTGTGACTGGTCGGGAGGTTGCTGTTAAAGTCCAGTATTTGCATCGTGTTTGTCGGTTTCCTGGACACTTTGTTTTTTTAGGCCACAACAATCTTTGTTGCAGACGAGGACATCCAGGAAGGCCAGCTAGCTGTTTTCTTCCTCCTCCTCCAGCGTCAATTACAGTAGGCATATGGTCCCACAGCAGCCAATTTCTATAAATACTGCATTTCTTTTGCCACTATTACTCTTGTCTGATACCTTCTCTGATGATAGGTTCAAGTGAAAATCTGAAACGTCAGGTCAATAAATTTCTTGTTCCAGTAATTGCATCTTCGTCTTCTGAACTGCCTCCTGGGACTCGGCTGTTCGCTTCTACCAGCAGCGCGTTAATCAACACCGTAACATGGCGACCGCATCCTATAAATACTGCGACTTTCTGTACACTAGCCACCCTTTTCTGCAACTGTCTCTGATGATGGATTCAAGAGAGAATCCGAAACGTCAGGCGAATAAAGCCATTGTTCTAGCGATCGCTTCTTCTTCTGATCAACACCGTAATTGCCAACTTCCCCGTACTGCACTCAGACATACCATGCCCCTGACAAAGTGTAAAAGATTAATCTGATTTTTTATTTAACGATCAGTTCCTCCGCCTAGAGCCGTGGAATTCTTTACTCACCGTCGAGTGACCCAGAAGTCATTCCTACTTAAAATAAGACGCAAAACAAGATGAGTACTTTCACTGCACAGAAAACGCGACTTTTTTCTTCGTGGTTGTCGTAAACAACCCGTGGCCCGATCGAGGCAGTTCCCGCAGATTTTCCACATTGACAGGTGTGAAGGCGCAGCCCAAAAAAAACTCTACTTTTTTTCCATCCGCGTTCTGAAGATTTGGTGGACACAAAGATGATGGCGCCTGAGCTATTGCGGATGCTTTAGAAAGTTAAAAAACAAAAATAAATACCTCCTCGTGTGCCAGTTGGCATTACGCCAAACTCCAGGGCGGTACCCATTCCGTGTGTCCTAACGCAACCCTAAACCTGACCTAGATCCCAACCCTAATTTTTCTTGAAATCTAGCGCTAGGCAATCTGCAATAGGGGTACCTATTCCCGCGTTCCACCCACACTGTGTGTTATACGTCCTCATATCTTGAAAACGGACTTTGACCGTTATTTTCTGCAAATCAGGCCTCTTGATCGCCAATTTATGCACCTTTATTAATCTTGGTTGCTTCTCACATGTCGTAGACGACACGTTAGGAAAAAAACTAGTCCTCTGCCAAAATTGCTCATGACTGCTGTGTTTGACGTTTGAAGACAAACCTTTAAGAGGCATCAATTGTGAGCGAACCCTGGGGTGAAAATGAAATTACAGACAATTTGTCTGACGTTTGGAGCTAATGTCCTGCACACTACCCTGGAGGCTTAGGTGATTCTTTAGACGACCTGACTTCAAAGCCCAGATGAATACTTCGTCTTCGAGATTCAATGTTGGCATGCGGATATGTCGTTTCTGAGATGCACTGACATCGCGTGCGCAACAACGACATTGAACTTAGTTTGTAAACCATGTTCAGATTATTAAACTACATAAGTACCGACTGGGACGGTGTACATCCACGGATAACAATCTAAGGGCCAACGGGAGTGCTGACGACATTTAAGTCTTTGGTGAGGAGGAGTCGATCTATCAGCACCGTCAGTGTTCGAAAACATAGAGGCGGCTCGCTGTATAAAATTGCAAAGTTGCTTATTTATAAATTAATTGCTTAAACATGTGTTTACTAGAAGCTTCTGATGCTACGGGTAATCCTATACAATGATGGCATTAGAACATGCTAAGTTGCGGGATTGGTTTTTGCTGATTTATTGGATGCTCAACTTCCGTTGACATCTTTGTTTTAAGTAAATGTTCTTTAGTTGTAAAAAAAAACATTTGTCTATTTCACATAGTTTATGGCTGCTCGAGTGGCTTTCAAGTGAGGAAATAAGAGAATCCGCAAATACCTCATTGCTTTTCCTAGTCTGCGTTAACAATATCAATCACCAGCTAGAGGTCTTTATACTAACTTAAACAATATTCCAAAAAAACTATATGCTACTAAAAAGAATTGACAGTATTTTTCTGACTTTGGGAAATATGTATTATGCAGTAACATAGGCAGCAAAGTAGCTCTTGTTGATAGGGATTCTTGACAGTATTTCATACGTGGTACGTTAAAATACTGATCTCAGGGCGTTTTTTTTCTTTGTCCAAAAGTGTCATTCTTTTTTAAAACTATATCGCTAAATAGTAGCATTTTTAAATGTCCTTGAGGAAACCACGACTGATCAGGTTTTATGGTCCGTGTCTGCTTTTGTTGACTAGATCGCCGGAGGGAATGCCTCTACAGAAGAACCTAGTGACCTATGAAATGCCCAAAATAATCATATTTCCAAATATTTCAAAAGAAACAATATCCGGACGCAAACTTTGCACGACCTCAGCAAGACTAACATTAACACAAGAAGAACGTGCCTTCATTTTCAGATCATTTGACGAAGAGCTGTTGCCAGTTAGGCAAATACCTAGTCAGTTTTTAAAATTTAAGAATGAAGAGACGATTTGCAGACTGTCTGGAATGCTTGAAAATTAAAGTACTACCTTTGATTTCTGTGACTATACGAGATGGTTTTAAAATGTCATGTTAATTTACTGCGCCACTTTAGGCATGTTATTCTATTCGTGATCGTGTCAGCGATCTTTACTAACTTCATATGCGCATTCAGCCTTCCTGCTTTTTTTTATTTCACACACTTGTGGAAATATCGGTGACCCCGGTTGGACTCGAACCCACGACACCAAGGGGAAGGCTCCGGTACAGCCAGCCCTCTAGCCACCTCAACCATGTGGCCCCACCGGGAGCCGTGTGTTCAGTCACACATTGGTTAATTTGCCCGCCTAGCCTACTCCAGTGTATGAAATCCGCCAAATCCGATACGGTAATCTGACTGCCCAAACAGGATTTTATAAGAAATCTCATTCAGAATCTACCAGATGCCTACCAGGCTCACGCAGTTACAGTAGGTAGGCTAACTCATGAATTGCCAACCAAAATTTCGAAATGCGTTTTCGTTTCGAAAAGATTAATTATGCAGGGTTGTAAAACTACTCATCCTGCAGCCTCCTTATATTACAGGTCGGATACCTTAGGATGCCGGCCTTCGAAAAAACTTCCTTTCAGCTGCATGAATGAAATACAGTCTGCAAAAGTGATTACTTAATTAGCATGCATTTTTCTCATTGATTTTTGATGCCCTTTAGCATTTAATTTATTTCGTAAAAAACATGCATAAAAATATTCATTCTCCATCTCATTCGGTAGACAATTACGCCTTTTTTCAATTTTATACTCAAATACGGGGCATAATTCCGCTTTAAAAATGTTTCTAATCGTGAGATTTTTTAACACTGTGAGCTGGTCGTTCATGAAACGTTATGTCTCTGCATTTACTAGGTTTGCTTTCAAAGCTAACAAGATGGGCCAAATTCACTGCTAAATTCTATGAACCCCATATGATCACTTCTGAATACTGTAGAACAATTTACGATTTTCCGTATGCAGAAAATACACGGCTTGTTGTTTCGAAGCCCTGAATGCATGTGTAACGGTCGGTCGGATTCAAAATTATTCGGGAATTGGAAAGGTATTTTTAAAAAAATTAAACCCTTTCTTCGAGTATAAAATTGAAAAAAGACGTAATTTCCTGCCGAGTGCATAGAACAATGAATATTTTTATACATGTTTTTCAGGAAATATAATTGACTTTTTAAGGGAATCGAAAGTTGATGAGAAAAACGCATGCTACTTAAGTAGTCATTTTTTACAGTGTGTTTCCTGCATGCAGTGAAAAAGAAGTTCGTCCAAATGCCGGCATCTTGGGGTAGCTGAATTGTGATAGAATTATGCTGCGCGATGATTAGTTTTACAATCCTACTTAATTAATCTTTTCGAAACAAAAACGCATTTTGACATTTCGGTTGACATTTCATGAGTTAGCCCACCTACTGTAATAAGCTCCTGGTGGGGCCTTGTGGCTCAGATGGCTAGAGCGTTGACCGCACTGAGGCCTTTCCCCTTGCTGCCGTGGGTTGAAATCTCACCGAGATCGACAAGCTTTTCGCAACCGGGTCAAAATAGATTTCTCAAAATCTGCCAAAACATCTATTGACTTCCTATTTTCGTAAAACTCGCAGTTTCTGCTTCTAGTATGGGCGCATTTGGAAAACCAAATAAAATGCACTTGTTAACCAGACTTTAAGTGTTCAAGTTTTAGAGTCTTTTCAAACGTTGCACAGAATACCAGTATAAATTCATAAAGCGCAATTACCAAACTTACTCTCTCCTCTAAACGCTGATCCAGTTTCTGGTTCCGTTGTGGCTTCTTGCTGGAATTTCTCGGAGGATTCTAGAAGGCGTCAGAAGGTCAATATGGGGCTGTTAGTTTACATACCCCTGGTGCGTAGCCTGTCTTTTCTTTGCGACTTGGAATATTTTCTTTCCCCCTTGAGGTTGGTGGTCTCGCGGCCATATACAACTCACCGACGGTTACTTCATGACCTTCAGAATTTGAGAATTTTAGGGCGCCTTAACCTACTTCTTGAGTAGTCCTGATACACCGGAGGCATTTTTGTTCCTTTAGCAGGCAAGAATCGTTACTATGTCAGAGACTAGGCGAAGAATCAGCTGCTACAGCACACGGCTGTCAGAGCGAGATATAATAGCTCTTCAGTATTGCACACTCACTTATACTCTCACGCCTACAGAACTGGTTGGGTACAGAGTGTCACGGAACCAGACCTATCACATCCGCCACATGTACATCCAATTACTGTCTCACCGAATACCGCGAAGGTCGCCGTAGACCTGTGGTAGCAGGCAGTTAAAAGGGGTAGTTTATCACACTTGTGAAAGCTTATAGAAGAGTTCATATTTCCCTTTATATCCGTCTTTCGACAGCCAAAAATTTAAAATCAAACGGATTTTTTCTTCTAGTAAGATGGCGATGGATGAGAAGGGAGCCATCAGAAACAATGCCGGCCTCTTTACTCACTAAACCAGCAACGTCAGAAACAAACGCCAATTCGGAGACAGCCTCTCGCAAAAACACTCACCTGGAATGAGTGCATCATTCACCGGGTTTGCAACAGACGCTAAACCACTGTTACTGTCGCTTGTTCCTGATGTTTGACAGTGCTTACTGTTTACGCGATTCCCCAATATTTCACCATCACAGTTACACTAATTTAGGGCCTAAGGTCGAGAGGCACTTAGCCCAGGACAGTAAGACATGTGACAAGACAGCAGGGGGATCTCTAAATTGGTTCAACTTGCAATTTCAGCTAGATAGCCATGGCAAAAAAGCATTTTCTGGTCGGAGCCAGACACAGACCGTCGTCGGGGAGAGATGAGCCACCAGACCGAACGGCCCCCGAAAAGGCTTAATCATCACCCGCATCGAGGTGGTGACAAGGTCAAATAGCTCGGTTTAGGCATTAACAGTTCTCTTTGATTGTGTGAATTCAAAGCTTTGACAGCGGTGAGCTGACGAGGCTCTCGAAGTTCAAGAAATCCCTTCTAGCGAGGCACTGGGAATTGAAAGTAAGAGTTGAGATATAGCTGTCGGCATAGGGATTATCTTAAGAGGTCGCTGCAGAACTGGACGTTTGAAGCACCGTCTGAACGGAGAACTCCCTTAAGATGCAATGCATGCATTGAAATTTACTTGGGATTTATAGGAATACTCTTCCGCGATTTGTGTAATTCGTAACTATTTGGTAGCAACTTCTCTATCAGAAGCCTGCCAATTCAGTGCTTCTTCAGACATTCAGCACAAGGCCGAAGATTGTCAGATTCAGATGTTCCAGTGGCTGTCTCACGTTTTAGCAATTCTGGTGAGAAAGCGTTACCCTAGTTTTAGTATAATTCAATATATACATATATTGGAACGCAGGCATCCCAAGAAATATAATTTGAAATCAAATGCGTTCTTCGGGAAAGAGAAAAAACTTTATTGAGTAAATTTTCGACGTCGGTTTCCTGTGTCGTCGTCAGACTAGAGTAAATGTGCAGAAAACAATTAAAATTTCAAACGTGCTACAAAAATCAATACTCATTTGGTGCCCCAGTTAGTAAACTGCCGTCGTATGGGTTGGCTATCTCGATAGAAAAGAAATCGTCTATAAGATCCCATGCGAGGCCTGTGATGCCGTATATTGTGACCAAACGGGAAAATTTGCCTCTGCACGCATCAACGAACATCAACTTGCAGTTAAAAGGCGAGACCACTTGTCTCAAATGGTCATGCACACTCTTGATACTGGGCACACTTTCGCATGGGAAAAAACTCGCATTGTCGGAGTTTGCCCATCTATAAAAGGCCGAGAGTTTCTTGAAGCCATGCGCTCCGATGAGTCATGCATCAACTGGCATATCGAGTTAGACGCCACGTACAAAAATCTCAGAAAAAAGTGGAAGAGACGAAAGCCGATCAATACGGACTGACACATACGACGGCAGCTTACTAACTGAGGCACCAAATGAGTATTGATTTTGTAGCACGTTTGAAATTTTAATTGTTTTCTGCACATTTACTCTAGTCTGACGACGACACGGGAACCGACGTCGAAAATTTACTCAATAAAGTTTTTTCTTTTTCCCAGAGAACGCATTTGATTTCAAATTCATATATATATATATATATATAATAATAATATATATCAACGTGAGTGAAGATTCGAGGTCCAGATAGATTATCCCGTTCATCATCCCCAAAAGAAGACGAAGAAGAAAAACGGCGATGCCATGGACCACACTGTATTGGTGCTGACGTTTCGGAAACTTCCTCTTTTCCTATCATATTTTAGTTTCTATCATCGTACAGCGACACTTCAACTCGGTGGGGCAATTCGCTGACCGGATTCTGAATGACACCGTCCATCCCCTTCATAATGAGTTAATGGCTGCAAAATCCTTACGCCCCATGCGTCGATGCTTCCGCCACATCCCTTGCCGCACTTCGGCTTATCAGAATTCCATACTGCCATTTCTAGCCCGGTATCTCACCTGCAAAGATGCTGAAAAACAAAAACAAAAACACGATCTTGCACCTTAAAGTCCTTTTTTCTTCATATATAATTATGTCCACCTGTCCAGTACCTGTTAATCTCTATGGTAATCACTGTGTACTGGAGAACCGTTTTTGCTGAAAGTTTTGAAAGTTATTTTCAAAATAAAGCATTCCTCTCTCTAGTGGTAGGGTGTTTGTTTCTGCTAGCTCGGAGTTGTTATGCTTCGCCGCCTGTCTCGTGTTATAGTCATGCCTGATACACGAACTCCGACCTGCTTGCTGACGGACGATTGGCTTAGGTCTCTCCGTGGCCGACCGCTGGGGCGCTGGTGTGACCTCTGCTCTCTGCCCGGTCGCTGTTGTCGCTGCTAGGTCCGTGTGCCCTTGGGCCCTCCCCCCATAATTTGACGGGCTGATCAGTTGCCGTTGCATGTGGGAATCGCGGTCGGCTGTTTGGGCGCGTCGGTGGGTCGATGTCTCGCGTCGGTCGTCTGACACCCGGCTGGCTCTCTCCCCTTTGCTGTGAAGGTGCAACTGTTGAGAGAACCGCGATTTGTTCGCCAACGCTGTCGGCCCCGTCCGAACTGACGCGAGCCTCGTACGAAGTGCCTTGTAGGCCTGATGAAGATCAGTGGCTCGGTTGCTTGTGTCAACTGAGGGCCAACTTTCGAGAACCAGTCTGGCAATCTTGTCGCTGGCTCGGCCGATGACGCTTGCCTCCCCAAAGGCGAAACTGTGCGTCTCCTATTGTATGTGGCCATATACCAGTGACAGCTTATCCTCGCGGTTGACTGCAAGCTGGTGCTCGTGCAATCTTGTGCAGAGGCGTTTGCCCGTTTTACCAACATACCTTGCACTGCAATCTTAGCAAAGTTTGCTGTTGACCACTACTGATTGTTCCGTTACAGGTAGCTGGTCTTTGGGCCTCATTATCTGCTGCCTGATAGTGGATTCCAGTTTATGGGCCACCCCAATCCTCAAAGGGCTCAGGATTCTTGCTGTAGACTCAGAAACATTCCTCATGTAGGGGATTGCGAGCGAGAACTTCGGCTTCTCATCGTTAGATCGTTCGCGGTTAAATCCTCTTCGACACTCACGTATGAAGGATCGTGGGTAACCACTGGCTGTGACTAGGGAATGAAGGTACTTCCCTTCCTTCCTTCTCCCGTCGTTGACATTACAGGGTGTTTGAACTCGTTGGAAAAGAGCTCTGACACAACTGCGTTTGTGACCAATGGGGTGGTTACTCCGGAATCGGAGGATGCGTCTAGTATTCGTTGCCTTTCGGTATACCGTATTTCTGATCCCCTCATTAGTCATCCTTGTGACGTTTACGTCAAGGAAGGGCAAGTGGTTGTTGTCCTCCTCTTCCATTGTAAATTGGATGTCGGGGAATATTAAGTTCAACCAGACTTTAAAGTCCTGAACGTCGTTCCTCTTGATTACGACAAATGTGTCGTCGACGTATCTGGCCCAGAATTTTGAGGAGGACGAACGGAAGACCAGTCGCTCGAGCCTCTGCAGAACAGCCTCGGCAATCAGTCCAGACAGCGGGGAGCCCATCGGTGTTCCCTTCTTTTGTTCGCAAACCCGGTTGTTGAAAGTGAAGAAAGTTCTAAGGCACAATTCCAGGAGTTCAATGACGTGTGTTCGTTTAAGCCGTTGATCAGTTTCATCGTACTTCTCCTGAAGAATCTTGTCAATGGTGCTGATGGCAAGGTCGGTTGGAATGGAGGTGAATAAAGAGACCACATCAAACGATACCATCATCTCGTCGGGCTCTATTTCTAGATGTCTGATACTCCTCAAAAACTGCTCAGCCGATTTCATCATCCATTCGGAATCCTCGGTCAGGAAACGGAATCGTTGGTAAAGCCATTTCGACAGTCCAAAGGTCGGGATGTCGCGTAATGAGACTATGGGGCGTAGAGGTACTCCCGTTTTATGCACTTTTGGCAGACCGTAGAAGTGCGCCATGGCGGCATCGGTGGCTTTTGCGGTCAGTGCTTCCTGCATCTTGAGGGCTCCTGCCTTCCTTAACTTGTCTATCGCCTTGTTTAAACTGTTCACGTGCTTCTTGAACTCTCCAGTCTCCGAAAGCTTAGAGGCAACTTCGTCCTACAATATCGGAGTCGAATATATGCCTTGGGAAAGGAAGTTTATTGTGCAAATTTTCGACGCCGGTTCCCCGGGTCGTCGGCAGACACAGACGGACTTACACACACGGCGGCCGCTTACTGGCGCAAACGCCAAGCGATTATCGATTTTTAAAGTGCACTTTAAATGTTAACTGTGTTGGCGCATTTGCTCTACGTCTGTCTGACGACGACCCGGGGAACCGGCCTCGAAAATTTGCATAATAAACTTCCTTTCCCAAAGCATATATTCAACTTCAACTTATATTTCTTGGGATGCCTACCTGTCAACATCTATATGTATATAGGAAGATGGAATTCTTTAGGAGACGGGAACTTTTATTGTGTAAATTTTCGAGACTGGTTCCCCAGCTCGTCCTCAGACAACAGGCGTGCAAAAACAATCAACTTCTAGACCGAGTCTAACAAAGGATTCTATGATTGGTTAAAGCTATCTACTGGAGATTGGTTGAGTCATTGTGAATCCGTCCTTAACGATTTTGTATGTGGCATCTAGATCGATATGCCGGTTGATGCATGCCTCATCTGAGTGCATTGCCTCCAGGAATTGGCGGCCTTTCCTTATTGGGCAGACGCCAACAATGCAAGTTTTTTCCTATGCAAATTTGTGCCCAGTGTCCATTGTGTGCATGGCCAGATGGGATAGATGGTCGCGTCTCTTTACCGCTAACTGATGCTCATGCATACGAGTTGAGACAGATTTCCCAGTTTGGCCACAATAAACGGCACCACGACTAAAACATGGGATTTGGTAGACAACACCTTTTCTTTCGAGGTAGCCAACCCTGTCCTTAGGGTGTACAAGCTGTGTGCGTAAAGAAGTTGCCGGCTGATGTCCTACGTGCATCTGGTATTATTTAATTGTCTTTCGACTAGTTCGGATACATTTTTCACGTATAAGAGAGTTCGCCAGGTGGTTAGTTTTGATGCCCGAGCGGCTATAGCGTCGGAATTGCCTTTTCCCTTGAGTTGCTGGTGCCTCTTGCATTGACGTATAAAGTCATGCGGGTACCCATTTTGGGAGAACAGTTTGTAGAGGTATTTCATTGCTGCTCAATAACTTGTTTCATCAAAGCAGTGGGTTTTGGCTCGATTTTAGAAGGCTGTAGACTGTACTCCGTTTGTGAGAGACAGGATAATTACTTTCAAAGTGTATAATGACCTCTGAATACGCCTCTTTGCGATAAACTGATGTATTAAGTAATCCATCGGTTTTTCGACGTACAAGGACATTCAGGAATGGCAGTTGTCCATCAACCTCTGTTTCTAAAGTAAATGTGATTGCTGGAAATATAGAGCTAATGTTGGTATGGAGCAGATTCAACTGGTCTTTCTTGACGATGACAAGGGTGTCATCCACATATCGCAGCCAAAATTTTGGGTTAAATGTGTGGAAGGACTATGCTTCCTAATTTCTGCAGTACGCTCTCTACCGGATGACACTTTTGTCATCGTTAAGAAAGACTATACCAACAGTAACTCTATATTTTCAGGAAACACGTTTACTTTAGAAACAGAAGTTGATGGACAACTCCCGATCCTCGATGTTCTTGTACAACGAAAAACCGATGGATCACTTCATACATCAGTTTATCGCATAGAGGCGTATTCAGAGGTCATCATACATGTTGATAGTAACCACCCTGTCTCTCACAAACGGAGTACAGTCTACAGCCTTCTGAATCGAGATGAGCTTAAAACTAAGGGAGACTGCTTCCTATAGCATGATAGAGGGTCAGAGGACGATGTCTATTAAGGATCTTAATATATCGACCAAACATTTTCAAAGGGTGGCATTAGTCGTGGGTCGGCGGTGTTTCCAGCACCCAAAAAATGCCTGTAATGACTGTTCTCCAGGCGCCTGGTACAGCAGTACGCCTCCTGCGCGTACGTGCAGGCGCGTACCTGTATCGGTCTGGTTCTCAGTTAACCCGCTAATCTATTTCAAGGCCGATTCAGACCTGCCCTCGCACAAGACACTCCAATGCCTGCTTCCGTGGCACTCGGACGCCTGCTCTAACGGCGGCGGACACATGCCGTCGACTGGCTGCCAACTTCTTCCAACGGCTTCTCCATTCCTTCTTTACAGAATGCAGTGCCCTTTCTATTGGGGCATCCGCCTTTTCCTCTTTTTATTCGGGACCGGGCCTGAAGGTGATAGAGGCGGGGGTCTGTCTGTGACTGGAGCTGTTTGCTGCGAATCCCTGAGGTAGCGGTTTGGACACTCTTATACGTCTTTTTGAAGAATTTAGATCCGTTTTAAGTTCTTTTTTCAGAAAAGCTATCTTTCCAAAGCCACTTCCAAAGCCCTTCGAAGTACAGAGCCAAGTACTCGTGAAAAGGAAAACAAATAAGAGACACCGATATCCATTGCGTTTAAACTTGTAAACTCTCTGAAGTGTAAAAGCATTTAATAAAATGTGCGTTAACCCGGGGGTGAAATCCTGGTGTGTTTTTTTCGCGGGCCAGGTCGTATGTGTGGCATACGCGGTCGCCCTCCCTAACCCTGTCATCCACTGCGCCTAATCCGCTCATCAGGCTATCGACCGACTCTCAGCGCATATTTCTCACTATAAACAATCTGACGCGTTTAAAACTATTACGGTGTATTAGCAACCCTGATCCGGAAGATTTCCAACTAACCGGATTACTCGCTTCTTCTCTTAGGACAGATAATCAGGTTTCAATGGCCTTTTCTACACCTGGCTTCTCCGTTCGGATTCGAGTCGTACCTTCTTTCCTTGCTGCGCAAAATCCAGGTTCTTTTTGTGCAGACCAGGGGGTGTGGTAGCAAGCCTAAGATGAGACTCGCACCGCGCCAGTCACATGCGCCTGATCCCATCTCCGGTAGTGATTTTAACTTGGCACGGGGCTTAAGAGGGCAGGTGGAAGACGTTTGAGCGAGTGTGATATATGCTGCGCAAGTCCACTTTCACTACAAGCTAGTTCACGCGTAAGTCGCGGCTTCTGTACCCACCCTGCTAACAGTTTCACTTACTCTTTCACTGTCAGCCAACGATTCTGGGGTTCAGCTGTCAGGGCGTAGAACTTCTAATCAACAGGTCGTAGTTTCCAGCCTCAGGGGTTACGAAATGTAGGGTTGGTTATGCTTGACTGATGACGGCTAATAAACCAGAAGTGACTATTTCAGTCTCTCTTACCTTTTCAATATAGGCCGGCGGTCACTTCTGTCAGATCCAGCGATTACTGGTTTTGCACATTGTGGTGTTCAGCGCCTAAGTTCACCCTCTACTCGAACCGTTACTCTGTTGCGTTCTTCGCTCTTAGCTCATCCTCAACTTGAGCCGTGTCAGTGCTGTTGAGTGAGAAGTCGCCTATTCACATTACTGAGCCTCAACAAGTTTAGTCGGACGCGCGTGACTCGACTAAGTGATAACCGAAACCCCCACCCAATCAGCGGCTCTCCGCTTTTGTTCGTGGACCTGGGAGTGGACGTCTTCATCAACCCCCTCGACAAGTTCTTCTTCGTTTTAAGGATGGCGACCAATTTCCCATTTGTTGGAAGACAACGGCAGGCTTAACGCCGCCCTCCTTGCTCTGTGCCAAGTAACGGCTGCATAGTTGACCACTGCTCAGTCACAAGACCCGAGAACTTGCTTGTTTCCACAGCCCCCACGTTTGGATGCGCCGACTGTCCTTAGACCCCTGCACGTCCCGTCTGTCGTGGGTCCTAGTACTCGATCGAAACTATCCGCGTTGCTTACGCCCCGGTCAGATACGGCGAGCCTTACAGCCTCTGACGCGTCTTTCCTGTGCGGCATTGCTTTCCTTAACTCTGCCGCGGGGACGTTTTATCCGCGGTGCATAGACGAACACCATAAGACGGCCGAACTTCAAGAAATAAACTCCCTGATGGCAGGTCTCTGTTGACGTTCTCATTCGCCGCACAGCGATATCTGTGCTTCGCACGGCATTTTATGTGTTCCACTAAACGACTGACGCGGTCTTTCGCAGGCTGTGTGGTTTATGGCCATTCTTTGACCTTGTTAGTAGAATAGCACCATCAGTTTTGAACTTGATAAGGCTTAAATGTCTGCGCAGCCTATTAAAGGTAATCCTGAAGAAGGAGACACGATCGCCGGGACAAGAGCTTTATTAGCCTGACGTTTCGGATTCCTGCTCGAATCCATCATCAGAGACAATAAAGCAGAAACGGGTGGTTGTTGCACAAGGGGCTGTGGTATTTATAGGATGCAGTAGCCACGCTAACGCATACCTATGAACATTCACGGCTCCCTCCTTCATCCGGGATCGTCGCCCTTGGTGTGATCATTGCTTGATGGCCTACATTCGAGTCGATAATTGCTGCAATTTCATCACGTGCGTTGCATGTTGGCGTGATGATTGCTCGAACATCTGACGCACCGAGCCCGGTGTTGGGAAAAGTGTTCACCTCTGCGCTCCACGCATGGCTTGTTACTCCGCCTAGGCGAAGTTTTAGCACGGAGTATTGAGTCGGAAGATCGTTGCACTTGTTAATGGACTTGGGGCCAGTAAACCATGATTCCAGTAGCTCCTGGCTAACGCGGTTGTCACCTCTTGCGAGAATTTCGGCCTCATCGAATTTGAATGTGTGGCCGGATCTCGTCGAATGAGCCGCAACTTGAAAGCTGGCGTCATTTCTGCGCACCGCTGCCGCGTGTTCGGCCATTCTCGTTCGGAGCTGTCTTCTGGTTTCTCCGACGTACTTGATTTGTCCGCAACTGCACCAGATCCGATAAACGACTCCAGACGTTTCCAGCCGTGGCAGTGGGTCTTTCGGTTTCATGACCAGACGCCTGATGGTTGCCTCCGGTCTGTGTGCCACTCCAACCCCAAGTGGTGCGAGAAGGCGGCCGACAGCTTCCGAAACTTTCTTGACATACGGAAGTGCCCGCCAAGATTTAGGTCAGCATATTTTAAGAGTAATAGGCAATGCCTTTGAAAACCGTGTCCGTGCGGTTAGGCCTTTCGTCCCTTTTGCGTATGCACCGGTCGACGAAGTTGCGCGGGTAGCCATTGGCTTTGAAGACCCGTCGGAGGTATTGTAGTTCGGCAATTTTGTCTTCCGGCTCACTGCAGTGCGTTTCGACACGCCGATAGAGCGTCCTTACACAACTGCGTTTGTGGCTGATTGGGTGGTTACTGTTGAAGTTCAGTACTTGCATCGTATTTGTCGCTTTCCTGAACACTTTGGTTTTTAGTTCACCACAGTCTTTGCAGCATACGAGGACATCCAGGAAGGCCAGCTGGTTGTTCTCTTCCTCCTCCATCGTAAATTGAATGTCCGGGAAGACGGCGTTGAGATGTTCTTGGAATGTCAACACTTGATCCCGTTCGATGACGACGAAGGTATCATCCACATACCGGGCCCAGAATTTCGGTCTGTGGTGTTGGAAGACCAGCGACTCTAACCGTTGCAGGACCGCTTCGGCGATGAATCCCGAAATCGGCGACTCCATTGGTGTGCCCTTCACCTGTTCGTAGATTGTCCCGTCGAACGTAAAGTACGTCCTGAGACAGATCTTCAGGAGCTGGAGGATTTGGGTGTGTCCAAGACGGTTCTCCGTTTCCTCATATTTGCTTTGTAGTAGCAGCTCAATTGTCTCGATCGCCAGGTCCTGGGGAATAGAAGTAAAAAGGGATGTAACATCAAAAGATACCATGACCTCATTTGGATGGATGCTTACACCTTTTAGTTTCTCCAGAAATTGTGCTGACGAAGAGACCGTGGTGTCTGACTCAGCGGTCAGGAACTTGAGACGCCGGAACAGCCACTTAGCCAGTCCGTACTTTGGAGTCCCTTTGAGCGACACGATGGGTGGGAGAGGAGCGCCGTCTTTGTGCACCTTAGGGAGGCCATAGAATCGGGCCAAAGCCGTATCTTGGGGTCTCGCCATGCGTCTGTCGGTCGGTGTTATTGCACCTGAGTTCTCCAAGGCCAACAACGTAGCAGTAATTTCGCGTGTCAGCGCCTTTAAAGGGTTCGTTGCACATGGGACATAGAACTGTCGGTCCTCCAGTAAACCTTTGGCTTTTTGAAGGTAGTCTGTCCTGTCCAGTACAACTGTGGCGCGTCCTTTGTCCGCTGGCAAAATGACCAGGTCTTTGTCGGCCTTGAGTTCTATAAACGCATTACGTTCGACCTTGGAAAGCACTTCCCGCGGCCTGTGGGTCATCAGGAGAGACGACACTTGGTGTCGGATGAGACTCTTAGTCTCCTCCTTTGCCTCCGTCTGACAAAGGATTGATTCCACTGCTGCAATCATGTTAACAGGTAGTCCTACTATTCACGACTAAGGTATCGTTTGAGTAGCGACGGCGGAATTGTAAATGGTAGTGCTCAAACCCTTGACTGCCCTGTCTCAGTAACACTTCGTCTGTCATCGATTCAGCCGTTACGAATTCCACAATTACTACATTCTTTTGCTCTTACGCCTGTCCACTGAAAGTGAAAAAATATCATTTGTCAAAAATGGAATATTTTTGTCAAAAATTTCCTTTTGAGCGCCTCCTTCCTTTGCCAGATCAATGGATGACTGAAGGGGGTTTTGTTGTGGTACATTAGTTGCGTGAAAGTGGAGGTTACGTCAAAAAGGCCTGATCTCATCTCGATCATCGGTCACCCATCCGTCATCCGAGAGGAATTATGCTGCCGTTTTGGGGCTCAGTTCAACAACCCCCACCACATTGCACTCGCAGTTACTGCTTTGCGCAATGCCCAATCAAAGCCGAATTCTCGACTTGCGACTTCTCGAAAAACGATAGACCGGATGCATGTGGAAGCAGTTTGTTTTACATTTTGAATGGTCAGAGCGTGAGTGAACAGTTTCACCCTCCGTGGTTGCACTCGAGAGCGTGTTCTCAAAGTTCGCAAATGCAGTTATTTTTCTCGAGATCACATCACGTTTTTCCTTCACTTCCGTGTAGAAATACATGTCCTATTCTTTTTTACCCACATGTGATGCATCTGGTTCTGAGCGTTCACTGCTGTGATTGGTGCAGCTTTGCACATAACGGCCTCACTGTAGCGCAAGCCCTGGCAGCATATCTGCCCTTCATGTCTGTTTTTCAGGGTGGTCATAAAGTTCCGTGTGAGATTTACGGTTCGATAAACCCACTAACAGTTTGACTCATTAAATTTTGGCCTTGATGTACATTTGATTAGCATATTTCGGTTCTCCAGCCACAATTTCTGATGCTTGAGTTGTTTAAGTTACTTCACTCAGGTTGAATCGTGTTCGCTAAGTTGACAAATAGTTCACGCAGGCATCGTTCAATGGAAAAAATCCATCAGGAATACATTAGAGAAACATGCTGCCCAGGAATTTGGTCGAATTTTTGTCTCCCCGTTTGTTTATTTGAAAACTTCCGCAAAACCAACACATAGTGACGAGTTGTTTCATCGCATCGTCATCAAATGAATTTCGTCATTTACTCCAGCCACTGCTTCTCCACTGAATCCAGGCCTCCTAGGTCGCACCTGGTCAGTAACTGATCCAGTTTATTCATTGACTGATCTCATGAACGAAAATTCTGAGATGCGTCTTCGATTAGAAAAAAATTGCTTAAGTGGGGATGTTAAATCGATTACTTCGCAGCGCAGTTACGCGATTTTTCCGAGGGTGTTGGCATTTGAACACACGTCTTTTCGGCCGTCTACAAAAACACCGTACTCGATAAAAATTACTAATTAAGTGCAATGCATTTTCCCCATCGATTTTCGGCGCCACAGCAAATTCAAATGCATTTTTCAGGAAACACATACGAGAGTCTTCCTTCTCGTACTTATTTGGTAATCAGTCATGCCTTTTTCAAATCCTATGCTAAAATAAAGAATATTTTTGGTTCTGCAAACGTTTTTCACTTTCGAATAATTGTGAACCTGATCTGCCGTCACATTTTTGTTAAAAGTGTTCAGTTTGCAAATTGCATACTCTCCGGGTAAAGAAAAACATACGTTCTGTTATGTCATTAAGAAAATACTTCACAGGGCTCGTAAAATGTTGCGAAGGATGTGGACTGTGTGGCATACTTAACGGGAAGTAGTATTACACAGAATGGTCAGCAGATATTCGAATAAACATTGCACGTTCTCAAAAATCTCCTAATCAGAAACTATGTTAAAACCGAGCACTACTCTGTTTGAGTATAAAACTCGAAGAAGGCATGATTTTCTCTCAGGTGAGTACAAGAGCATTAGAAATCGGTAGATAAAATGCATGACAATTAAGTGTTCATTTCCACTGAGCGCAGTTTTTTCAGGCGACCCAAAAATTATATTCAAAAACAGACATTCGGACGTGTCTAAAATAATAGGCGGTCGTACCACAAAATGATCATTATTACAACCCACTTGAGTAATCTTTCCTAATCGAAAACGCATTTCAGAATTTCGGTTTACATTTCATAAGTTCTGTTACTAACCGGACATCGTTTTTGTAAGGCTTTATTAGGTTCAATCCCATGACTACTGTTGGTTTCAATTCTGAAACGCAAACTATTTTATTTTTTTGTTCAAATCTGTCCCTTGTGGGCAAATGAGAATACAAGTAAGAATAAGAAAGAAATTAAACCTTTACAAGGACTAGATAACAAGACGAAATCGTCTCGAGTTGGAATTTTAAAGGTTGAAAATTTGCATGGATAATACTGGCCCGGAATACCAATTTTCAGCACAGATGCTAGTCTAGGCGTCGCCTTAGCTAACTCAAGGCAAAAGTTGGTGATTCCAGCCCAGTCGAAGATTTATAGTTTGTTATTACCTAGGACTCAATTGATAACTTTGAAGTGAATTTTATCCTGTGTAAAAACGGCTTTCATGAGCTGTTATTGTTCTAGCAAGTAACAGAAATGTGTGTAAAAGTGCAGAAGGGTTATGTTAAGAATCCAGATAACTGTTAACACTGTTGGTGCATGCCCCCTGTTCTGAGGTTGGGCCGAGCTCAGACGATTGAGATCATGGTTCAGTCGGGCGGATCGTTCGTCCTATATTCTCAGCACTACGGATTATTAATACTGTGAGTTTTTGCAGTACGCATAACGCGGGTGCGTGCCTTGTGTAGATCACTCTGTAGAAATACAGTAAGTGGGGTACCCCACGAAATGTCAAACGGAATTTCAAAATGCATTTTTGTTTCGAAAAGATCCATTTAGTGGGGTTGTGAAAATAGTCACTCTAAACCATAATTGTATAATAATTCAGTTACTTCAGGATGCCGGCTTTCGATCGAACTTTTTTCGGATGAATACAGAAACTACACTCTATAAAAAATGACTACATAGGTAGCATGCATTTTTCTCACTGATTTTTGATGCTCTTAAAAATTCAATTATATTTCTTGCAAAACGTGCAACACAATATTCATTTCTTTACTCATTCGGCAAAAAATTACGTCTTCGTTCAATTTTGTACTCCGACGAAGGGAAAAATTCGGTTTTAAAAAAGTTTCTAATTGTGTGATTTTTTAATACCGTGAAATGGCAATTAATAAGCACGTCATGACTTTGCATATACCAATGTTGCTTGTAAAGTTAATTTTATGGCTTAACTTCACTGCTAAATTGTATGAACCCCATATAGTCCCCTCTTTATACCGTAGAGAAATGCACGGCTTTCCGTACGCCAAAAATATACGGCTTGCAGTTTTAAACCCTGAATGCAAGTGTAACGGTAGGTCAGCTTCAAAATTACTCGAGAATTAAGAAAGTTTTTGAAAACCAAATTACACCCTTCTTTTGAGCATAAAATTGAAAGAAGACGTTATGTTTTACCAAATGAACAAAAGAGTGAATATTTTTATCCATGTTTTTCAGGAAATATAATTGAATGTTTAAGGGCATGGAAAATCAGTGAGAAAAATTCATGCTAAATAAGTAGTCATTTTTGGCAGAGTGTAGTTTCAGCATGCGTCCGGGAAGAAGTTCGTTCGAAAGTTGACATCCAGAGGTAACTGAATTATTCTAAAATTACACTACAGGCTCATTAGTTTTACAACCCTACTTAATTAATCCTTTCGAAACAAAAACGCATTTCGGAATTTCGGTTGACATTTCATGAGTTAACCCACCCACTGTAATCTTACAAAATATCTACGTTCCATTACTTGCTTTCGCATTACTGGACTGGACTGGGCTGCCTATTGAAATTGCAGCCGTTGGCCACGCTGTTTGTGACTTCTGTTTGTCATTTGCCATGCAGGAAAACGTTTACGGTCTATTGTAATACTTTCCTCACAAGTAAATACTTTGAAAAAGTAAGAATGTACACTCCGACGGACAGCTTGTTGACTGTTAACTCTCATTTCTCAGTTCATACGTTACTTGCAGTGCGGATATTGTTGACTGCCCCTTTCTGACTCAAAGCAAGCTAAGTAGTATTTATGGTTACAAAAATTTTCATAAACCTATTCAGAAGACTAGCAGCTAATCAGATGTTTGCTGTTTTGACAAATTTTCATCGGGCTAGTATATTTATATGGCAATGGATTCAGTTAGACATATGTGGGTAATGACAGAAACCGAGAAATATTCATTTTTTCACTTGAGTGGGATGTGGGGTTTAAGGTGGGGGGTAATTAGAGACAATAATTGTCAATCTAGTCAGATAATGATAATTGATATGGATGTGATGGTGGGTATAGAAGAGCTGAGCCAACGAGGAAGTGCGAAACGCCCCGAGATTTGCACGCCGTTAGTTGGTTAGCTGACCCTTGACTGTGGCAAATGCGGAGTCAGCATGAGATCGACTTTTGTAATCTAAATGAGGTCGCCTCTCTTGTAGCCAATTAACGCTATCCCAGCGACTTAGGATAGCTCGATGGAACCTTGGTAATCGCTCGGAAAGCTTCTTCGAGCTTCCCACGATGCCCGGCAATGGACTAAGGTGCAAGAACGGTGATGCTTACGCTTCTGATTTCGACCTTCATCAGTCATGCTGGGAGGTTTTCAAGTATCCTCTTGGATAGGCTCCGACTTCTGAGAACAATATAACCTGCTCCAGAGTAGGAAGTAAATGCACATGTAGGTAATCTGATTTGGCAAACTATTTTGCCTTTTCCAAGTTAGATGAGGTTAGTTGAGAAAAACCTGCGAACCCCTCTTGCTAAGAAGGCCGTGAAACAGCTTGTTTGATGGGCCTTCCCTGTAGCACATACGTCGCGTCCCCTTGAAAGGGCACTTTGATGAACCCTCGTCATTTCCACCTGTCGAACAACATTTGCCAGTCGCTTGCATGAAACAACACATTAAACTGCTTTTCCGGTTGAGG